GTGCGCTTGAATTCCTCCTTTTTTTTTGAGGGCAGCCAGGCGAATCTGTCAAACGGCAAATACGAGTAAATAATAAAATCAAGTTGCCAGGCTGGTAATGTGCCCGAAATTGATTTTTTGTTGCGCCAGACAACAACCGGAGACACAATTGGCCTGGGGAAGGGGGAGCGGAGGGGCAGAGAGGCGTTGTTTGAGGTACTCGGCAAATATTTGGTCAAAAATTGCCATGCAGGTGTTGGGTCCTGTTTGTGTTTGAGCTTCTTAGATGAGCAAACACAGAAAAAAACTGCAGCAGTTAACACTAAACACAAGTATTAGGAGATTAGGGTTTAAAATTAAATTTGTTTTCCTTATACAATACATTACTTAATAATTGTCATCTTCTAAGTTTCTCAACTGCTTCGCAACTTAAATTAAGCATAACCAAAATCTTACAAAAATCTTACATCCTTAAAATTATATAAACCACTATTTTAACATTTGAATTGTATTTTCTGTGCTGTAACTTTTTTTAAATTTTAATTTAAATTTATCTTTTAAATCACCAATTCTTGCATCAAATTGAGTTTTATAAGGGAATAGTTTATGTTGTGGTAATTAATCCTTAACCTTTTTTATTAACATTTTTACCATAAGATTATCTTTATAGAAATATAAATTTCTGTTCGAAAATTGGCGAAGTGAGTCAATATCTTTGAGGTCCTAAGTCCTTCTAACATTTAGAAGCATAGACTTGAATTATTTTTATTTGATTAAGTAATAAATACTTTGAAACCACTTACTTTGGGGGTGAATGAGGAGACCAATAAGATAAGATCCATATTTTGTTCATGATTTAGGAAGTCTCGAGTTGGGAGAAGGCGCATCCTGGAGGGCTTACATTTTCGGCTATGCAAAGTGATTTCTTCTTTTTCTTTCAGCTCTTGTCTCCGGCAGGCCTCTCAAGTGAAATGCTCGCTGGGACGCAACGAAAGCCCCTAAATCAATAAAAGTTTCGATGGCTTAATACCAAAACGGAAGCGGTCCCGCCAGTGGCGACGACAGTCGCTAAGTCGTCGTCGAAAATATGCCGCCGCCAATTGAGGTCCTTGTTATTGCATTCCCGCTGCACCGCCTCGCCTGCCATCGAGTTATACTATATTTTTTATTGACTTAGTTTCGAGTGGCAGGGCCGCAAAGTTTGCAACTCTTCCGCGGCAAGTTCGCCATTATTTGGGCTGCCTACTTTAGGCGTTGTCTGGCGATAGTTTTTCGGCTTTGCGATTACAAATGAGATTTATGCGGCCATTTCCGAGCCATTAGAGGAAGTGCAGGGCGGCGCTGGCCAGTCGAGTGTGCGGCCATAAAAAACAAAAGATCGAACAAAAAAAAAGGTTACTTTGCAACCGCTGGCCTCATATTTTCCCATTTGGCCTTGGCGCATTAACCGACGCTCTTTCATTTACTCTCCTTGTTCGCAGGCGGGCCAACTTGTCAGCGGACCGGCACGCCTAATGTCCTTTTGATAGGCTCTCCAGGAAGCGGTATCCGGCGGGAGGAAGTGGTGTCCACTGCAGCGGCGCCAGCACTTGATAAATTATCATGTGAGCGGAGGAAGTGCGAGGATGCGGCTGGCAGTTGCAGCTGCAGCTGGAGCAAATGATGCTCCATAGAACTAACCCGTTCACCTGCGACGATTTTTAATCTATTTTAAATGATAGTGGCAATGGTAATGGTACGGTGCGACCGGATGATGGTTCACAACGACCGTGTCCTTTAAACGGGTCGGTGGGACTTTCGTCCGTTTGTAACGCCATTTGTCAGCGATTTATCAGTGTCCGTACGGGATTATTTATGATGCCGTCTTGCACCTGCCATTAATTGATTCGTAATTGCATCCGGCTTGGAATTAATGTTAAGCTGCTAACCCGATTGCTGCTGTCGATAATAAATAAATCCAGACTTTGTGTTTAAAATAAATTTATTTGTATATTTGATTTGAACAAACGATAATATCTTTTCATTGCAAATGGGGCTAACAAAACAAAACAGATTGCAGGGCGCATCTGTCTTCTGTTTTTCTGGGCGTGCACAAGGATAATAACAATATTTGATTTGCTAAGCCTAAGGATAAAAACATGGATAATCGCTGACTGATTGGCGGCTTCGATAACATTAACATGCAGTTACAAATAGATAATTGTATAAATAATTTGACTATTGACTAGGGATAAATTTGTCGTATTTGCTTCGTTTCTTTGCTAATTGGCTAATGTGTATATTTGGATAGAATGCAATGCAGCAGCGGAATAAATAGAACATCGAATGAGTTGCACTGGGCGGCCTAACTACTTAGCACTAGCGGGTTAATTGATATAGAAATTCATGAGGCGGCGGCGAGATTCCATTTGTTTAGCTCGTGGTCATGCTGATTTTAAAATTTCGAACTTCGAATTTTCCATCGCCGCCTTCGAACTCACCACGCGGGTGTGCGACTTGGCTAGAGGCGTGGGGAGAGTTGTGTGGTTCTTAACTAGACTACGCATAGGTTTCTTCGATTGGCAAGAAAAAAAGCTTGGATTTCGTTTGCAGCTCTACGAGATGAAAAGCTCCACGCAGGAGTTGCTCACGAGGGGCGTGGCAGCGGCCCCCGCCACCCCCTGGCTGCCCGTTTTCAGCGGGGGCGCAGCGACGGTCGTGGGCGTGGCATGGTTCGTATCTATGCTGAGTAGCGTTTGTGATGCCGTAGCAACCGCCTCTGGAGGCGTCGAGGGCGTGGCAGCCTCCGTCGTTCCATTTAAAGCGATCGCCGGCAGCACCGCCGCCATCATCTGAATGGGCACCTTGCCGGAACTGGAGCTCCCACTGCCACTTCCGGTCGTCGAGGGCGAAAATTGCTTGGGCGGCACAAAGGACACGGCCGCCTTTGTGGGCGTGAGTATCAGCCCAGTGCTCGTGTGCGGAATGGCCACGCTGGGCGGCGACAGCGGCGAGGGCGGAAAGAAGTCCAGCGGGTACTGCAAGTGTAGTTAACAAGTCAATTATTTGTAATTCAATATTTCATTTCAAAAGTAAATATTTGTAACTTAATAAAATTTAGCTTGTATTAATTAAATGGAATGTAACTAAATAAAAAATGAAGAGTTAATTAACTTTGTGAGTATTATTTTAAGCGATTTTATCAATTCTGTTTTTTTATTAAAATCTTGGGAAAAAAATTGTTCCTGCAATACCTCGACATATTTACAATAAAGTAAATTTTTCATAGGGAGTATTGCCAATCAATTCGGAATTTTATAACGAGTTTAACGTCTATAACGTCTATCTAAAGAGAACGTGGATATAATAGTTTTAAATATCTAAAGAGAACGTGGATATAATAGCTTTAAATATCTAAAGAGAACGTGGATATAATAGTTTTAAATTTTGTTTAGTTTTAAAAATTGTTTTGAACTAAATAGTATACCAATTTGAAATGGCTAAGGTGCTCGGTATTAAATATCTGGATAGTAAAGCTATTTTTACATGCCCTTCTGGTATTTTGATAAGTTGTACCTTGCCCTGAAATCAGACCGCAAGCTTATCTAACCTTGGGCCCTACTATTTTCCAGGGGAGTGTTGCTTTCGGGGAGTGTGGACACTTGCCCCATTTCTTACCAGGGGCTGCGAGGGGGAGTGTGCACCGGGCTGGCTGTAGTAGGTGGTGGGCGAGACGGGCGGACTCGGGTAGGGCCAGTAGACGAGCGGCGGCGGGTAGAAGGCGGACGCCGGGTGGTGGTGCGGATGGTGGTGCGAGCGGGGCGTGGCCAGCAGGGGCGTGTGGGGCGGCGGCGGCGGCGGGGCTGCTCCGTAGGCCGGAAAGGGACCGCCAAAGTGAGCGCCCAGCACGGTGGCACCTATGTGGAGATAAACAAAAAGTATAATTTCGATGAAGTCTCATCCTCTGCAGGGTATCATCAACACAAAGAGGGCAACGGTTGGTTTTAAATTTGGGGAATTGGGGTAATAAGTGTTGTGAGTATGGCTTTTGCTTGTTGAAAAAGGGGGGAAAAGGGGATATACAAGATATACAAGTATATATTTGCGTGGGTTTTTAGATATAAATCAGCCGATCTTCTCAGCTTTTGCGGTGCTTCTTGAAGTGGTCATTCGGTCACTCGGTTCTCCGTCTGTCATTGTAGTTGTTACTGGGTTAGTTAGTGATCTTATCTCCTTAATTAATTGGCCAGTTAGTTAGTCGGTTAGCAGGGGCAAAATTGTATTCAAATCACTCACCGTTTAGACATTGCAAATGGTAGGAGAGACATATATAGTTGGTATTTTGGAACGAGTATCTTACCACCTTACCCAGAGACCATGAAACAGTTGCGCACAAGTACGAGAACAAATTTTGAACATGTTTAGCCGATTGTTTGGTAATTTTGATTTTGATTATATTTTCGTTTTTGTTTTTTGTTCGATTGTATTTTGTTTAATCCAAGCACCAGGCCCTGAGGGGCCGTAATTGATTATATAGTATGCGCCCGAGGGTACAGACTGCGTCGAGTTACATACAGGATGCGACTATGACTAGTACGATCATGATGGACATTCCACTTAGAGTTACGATAGTATTTATGTGGCTAGAACAGTGACGGAAACAGAAACCAAACAAACTCCAAATGCCGATTCCGGATATCCACTCCCAGCTTTTTGGCCCCTTGAACGAGGCGCTGAAAACGCGATCGAGTGTAAAGCTTAGCCCAAGCCCGATACCCTAGTTACATGTACATATATGTGTTGGAATGAGGGGATAATGTGTGGGGGGGAGGGGAGATATATGGGAAGGGAATCAGGATCTTTGGAGCAGGAATTCTCTTTTTGGTTTGGGATTATCTGGATTAGTAAGGAATTAAACCCATTATGATTTCGTGTTTGTTATTAGTAGGTCTGGGTTCGATCCTCTACTCATCGGGCAACACACAATTGAGCGAAAGAGATGGTGACAGTGTGAGAGAGAGATAGAGAGAGAGAGAGCGGGCTTAGTTTAGGCGGTATGTCGTATTTTATTGATGTAAAAAATTAATTAAAGGTTGTTTTACTAACATCTAGTGGTAAAAAAGTTTGGAATATCAAAAATCGTAAAATTTCCAAAAAAACATTTAAAATTGTTGTGCGTAAAAACTAGTTAAGTAGATATTATTGATTACGTGTGTTGTTTCTTTAAAGTGGCCGTAGAACCCGCTCGGAAGCCACTCGATTGCCATACTACATAAAACTAGTGGTTAAATTAGGCTAATAAGGATTAGGCTAGGCGCAGACTATCTTTCCCATGCCTTTCTCTCGCTAAGCTCGATTCTCCCAAGCCGAGCGAAACTGAGTGTTAGACGCAGCAGGAGAAAAGAGAGGTTTATATTAAGAGCTGGGTTTTCTGGGGATTTGGGAAGGTCAGGAGTTAATCCTGGAAGACGCCGACAAAAGCTCGAATGTGTGTACAGATTTTACAAAACGTTCGTTAGCTGAAAACTTGTCTTAACCCACAAGAAGTTCCTTATCTTATATTGAAGAATTTTAAAAGTTAATTACACCACATTGTTTTGGATTCCCATGATCATGTCGTTTCGAAATAATAATTTCTCAAGGGTTAAGACAGTCTTAAAGCTAACCAGCACTTTGCAGGGATGTAAGCCCGAGTCACCAGTAACCAGTTACATATCATCCGTTTATGCAGACTAGACACACTATTTATGTATAGACACTAAAGCGCCCCAACTTACAACAAGCTTTAGACTATAAATCTAGCTGATCCCGACTAAATTAGTGATGACAGAGAACACACAAACAGTGAGAGATATTGATATCGAGAGATAGAGAGTGATAGTAGAGAGAATTATCCCGTTTGCGACTAACACCAGTTACGCACACTTAAAAGCTACACCATAGATCTAGGCACTATGTTTATAGAGTGTACGATATTGCAAGTCAAACGATGAGATTTATATTAATTGATTGTTAGCGGCCATGGAGAGACACGGGAAAAGATTGCCGGTAAAATTAATATGCAAACCCACTTTACAAGTCGCACAGTCTTAAAGCTAGCATGTATATAAATGTAGATATATATATATATATATATATAAATCGATAGGCCATCGTTGGTTAATCAAAAAAAGGTTTGTCTTACAGAACACGGTAATATTTGCTTAATCCGTAAACACTTCTAGGTTTCGGTTTCGCTTTTGGGGTTCGGTTTCAAATTCAGCTTAAATTTTGAGCTTGAGCCAACACCTGACGTGGTTCATGGGGGGAGGGGAACTCAGGGGGGGCTTAATTGGTGGCTTTATAAAAGAGAGTTCCAAAGGATAAACACTAAAATTAAATTGCACTGAATGGGCGTGGTGACCACGGGAAAACTACCCACAAGATTTCGCTCCCTCCATGAACAACGTTAGCCTCTGTTGATTGCCTTCGAATCGGAGGAACAGGAAGGAGATATATACCGCTCTTAATCCAGTATATATACACCCTCCTGCTCTACACACGCACCCACACACACACCAAGCATATATCAAAAATTATATTTAAAATCCATTGGTGAGAACACAAGTGATCAGGACACTTCTTTGATCCTTTTTTATATAACTTCCCTCTGTTAGCTGGTGTACTTATGCGTGTATGGGTGAGCAGTGCTTATGGGTATGTGTGTGTGTGTGTGTGTATGCCCGGGTGTGTGTTGTTGTTTCATATTAATTATATAGTAAGTATTATTCGCTTAGACCATAGACAAGTATTATGCTTAGGCTACAACTAGTACTCCGTACAAGAAAAGTACTTAAGTCTACATTCCAAATCGGTATCAATTAAGCTCTAGAGAATGTCTGGTATGCAAGTGTATGAGTGTGGTGGCCATGATGATACATGATATGGTTATGTGTGCTCCATAATGAGGGTATTATATGCGAACACCCCACCCACTCGCGGAATGTGCCCGAAGTGCTGGAGTTGGAGCTCTTATTTCAGGTTTTTTGATTGGGTCTATATGGGTATATAGCTCTCTGGGTCTATAGCCCAGTGTTATAGTACGAATAAAGGTTGCTGGGGGGGCGTGTCAACGCCCTTTTGGCCGCACTGGCCGCCGCTGCCGCCCCAGCCGCCTCCTGCTGAAAGGCGTTCTCGTACGAGCGCTTCATCGACTGACTCAGCGGCGAGTTGCTGGCGGAGGCCGAAGTTGCTGCCGCTGCCGCTCCTGCAGCTGCTCCTGCTGCCACGCCCACTCCCGATGCCGCCCCCGCGGCGGACATATAGCCGAGCGGAAAGGGCGGCAAGTAGGCGGTCGAGGGCCTCTGCATGAGCACAAACTGCGGCTGACCCTGCTGCAACATGGCACTGGCATACAGTTGCTGCTGTTGCTGCTGCTGCTGTTGCAAGTACAGCGGATGCTGCAACATCGCACTGGCATAGAGCTGTTGCTGCTGCTGTTGCTGTTGCTGCTGCTGCATATGCTCGGCGGCCAAGGCAGCAGCTGCCGACTGCTGTCGCACCAGCAAACTCTGCTGGGCTATGAACTGGGCCTGCTGCTGGGCCAGCAGCGCAGGAGTTGAGGCTGCCGCAGCAGCGGAAGATCCTGGCGGCGGCAGCGAGAAGGGATTGAGGGCGTAACCCTGTGGGGTCAAGGTCACAGCGGCATTTTGCAACGAGGCAGCGGAATGGGCGGCAGCGGCAGCCGTGGGCTGATTGGCGGCCATGAAAGATGCCAAGCCGGAAGCGGAAGCGGCGGCGGCGGCGGCCGACAGACCCGGCAACATTCCCGACGAGCCGGACAATCCGTGGTGGGCGGCGGCGGCGGCCGCTGCCGCATGGGCGTGGCCCGGGGTGTGCGCATGCGCATGTGAGTGCGGGTGAGTGTGTGAATGAGTGCCGCCGAGCGGCGATTGAGCGGTACCGGCGGCAACGGTCGTCGGCGACTGACCCGCCGAACTGAACATACCCGTGGTGGCGGCCAGCAGCGATTGCTGCTTGTGGGCGTGGCCATGATGCGGTTGCGCCGCCTGAGCCACCGGTGAAGCCAGGCCACCATTGAGGACCATGTTCATGTCGTCGCCGGAGCACTGGAACACCTCGATGTAGCGGAACTTCTTGCCGAACACCATGAACTGGTTGTGCTTGCGTTGTGCACACAGGCGGGCCGAGTCCTCCAAGTCCATCTGGATGAAGGCCTCGCCACTGGGTTGTCCCTAAAAATGAATTAAGGAAACTAAGCAGCTATCCAGAAAGAAAGGGGAATCTGAAAACCCACCTGCGCATTGATCACCATGTGCACGCCCTGGTAGATGATGTGCTTGGCGAAGTCGTCGAGGAAGTGCAGGATGTGTTCCACCATCGCCTCGTAGGGCAGTCCGCGCAGCCGGATGCAGTTCTTGGTGGTGCCCGAGGTGATGAGGTGCTGTGTGGGGAGAGGGAGAGCGGGAGGAGGCACGGGGGGGCACAGGTTAGCGGGACTGACTCCGAGGCTATGGGCGAGGCTGTGGGCACCCACCTGCGGCAGCAGAGGCAGCGGTATCGTGGGCAGCTGGGCGATCAGCGGCGGCTGGCTGTGTCCGCCGCCCGACTCGTAGTTCTTGGGGTCCATCGAACGGTTGAGCACCTGCTGCACCTCGGCGGTCGTGGATCGGAACAGCTCGATGTACCGCTGCCCAATGGACTCGCGGTGCCGGCCCAGCGCCTTGGGCGCGTCCGTCTCGTGGGCGAACAGCACGAAGGCGTCGCCGGTGGCCCGTCCGTCCGGTTTCTTAACGAACAGCACGCCCTCACTCCCATCAAGAACGTGGCAGGGCGCCGTGTCGCCAGTGGTGAAGAAGTCCAACTGGTTGGAACAAATAATTGATTAGTATTTTATTAAATTTATATATCTATATTCAACCGTGAACTGTAAGATTCATAAGGAGAAGCAAATCTATGCCTCAACCTATACACCTCATACTAACAAACACTCTGAACCACGTCATTACCCCAGACTTCCTTGAACATTTCTTATAATAAATGGATTTCCGACGAAAACTAGTAAACAACATTCGCTTACAAAACTTGGCCTAAACATTTACCTATTTGTAGGCGCGATTTCTCAATGTAACGTTAAGTTTTGACATTAATTTATTTTGCTGTTTCGGAAACAGTTCTCAATATAATGCCAGTTAAATCTTGTCTGTCATCAAAATGAAAATGGGGAAGAGAAGTTCGTCTTCTAAATGCAGTTTGAATTTCTTTCCGACTGTCCTTTGAATCTTAACATCACATTGAGAAAGCATACATGGTATGAGTTGCCCAACAATTTGACTTCGTGATTACAAACTAGAGCGTTAACATGATATTAAGAAATCAGCAATTAGTCAGTAGTCAGTATTCAGCAGAGCCTATATATTTCCTTCGTTGGCCAACAACATGGTGTATATTTAAGTGACCAAAGATCAATACTTTGCTATTGGCATTCCCCAAGAGTGGATCAGTTCCCAACTTGCAGTACTCACCACTTGCTTGGCGGTGGCGTCGTAGGGCAGTCCCCGCATCCGGATGATCACCTGGGCGCCCTTCGACAGGAAGGCCTGTGCCTCATTGGAGGCTCCGCCGGCGATGGCCAGGAAGTCCTCGCCCGTGGCCCGGTACACCTCGATGTAGCGGGTGCAGATGTGGTGTTTGTGCCGCTTGAGCGCCATGTCGCGATGCTCCTGGCACACAAATCGGATCAATGCCTCGCCGTTGCGCCGTCCCAATGGAGAAAGACAGAGGGCCACGCCGCCCCTGGAATTCGGAGAAGTGAAATAAGGGAGCGGTTAGCGGGTGGGTAGAAGACGATAAAGTGGGTCGCTTGTAATCTCGACACGGACGACCCCTGAACCGGCTTATCTTTTGGCGTTCGCCTCACTACATGAGTAAGACCCCACACATTTCTCCTACTCACTTGGCTACGTTGAGGCCGCGGAAGAACTTGGCGATGTCCTGGTCGCTGCTCTGCCAGGGTAATCCTCTGGCCCGCACTATGCAGTTACCGTCGATCTCGTCGTCAATGGAGCTGTGATGAGATTTAAGAAATTCTGTAAGTTTCTAGTTTGGCAGAACCTTTTACTAAAGCGACTTATGCAACTCGTAATGGGACCTCTTCGTGGGTAAGGAGAAAAAGGCGTCGCAGTCACGTTCCGATGTGCAACCAAAGTTCTTGACGACTACCAAGTCGCATAAACATTTCTGCTGACTCTCCCGCAAACACACACTCGCACAAATAAAACCGAATGTCATGCATAAATGGGCCAGCAAAAAAAAAAATTAAAATTAAAATGAAAATAAAACCAAACGAGCAGCGCGAACAAATAAAAAACATGAATAATCTGAGTTGGCAGACGGGGAACAAGGAGTTTTGAAAAGGGGTTATACCTCTGTCGCTCGCTAATTGAATATTTTATAGTGATTGGCCCGAAAAAAAACAGACTTCGAGGTATATGAAATTTTCCTAGGCGATCCGGCGATAACAAAAGCCGTGCATTCACGTTGCCCCTGATCCGTTACGATGCCACCCGACACCATACGAGTACCGATCCCGGTTCCCTGGCAATACAATGGCTATATGGCTCTACGATCGAGCTCTTATCGGCTCCCAATCCAAACGAAGACTGACGAGAGCGACGCTCCCAGCTCGGATTTGGGGCCTTGTTCCAGTGTCTGGGTGCTCGAGTGGTTTCTTTGTGGGCCCGGCGATCGTCTTGAGTTTCGAGTGAGTTATTCTCACTCGAAATAGTGATTGGATCAGCTGAGTGGGGCTTGGATCGGGTTGGGTTTTTACGGGGAACTAGTTCGGACGGACGGACGCACTGAGCACAGCACTCACCAAATTCCAGGTTCCAGTACCAGGTTGACCAATTCGTTTGCAGCAAATTTGTGACCTGTACAGAAGTAACTTCGGGTAGTGAACAATTCGGAGAAGAGATCTGAGCTTTGTGTGGCTTACCTGCCTGCAGCAGAGTCTGGATCACAGTGACCATGTCGCGAGATTCGCGTATGAAAAAGTCGTTGTCCTCCACCGATGAGGTGTTGAGTTCTGTTGGGAGGAAAGAAAACAAAACTAATTAGAAATCATGTAACCATAATTTGAAAAGTAATGTTGACAAAAGGGTTATTTACTTAATATTTTATTTACATTTGCAATTTGATAATTGTTTAATATTGGAAACGGTTCTTTTAAATAATATGCATTACGATTTAATGATATTGTGTAAAATGTTTATGCACCAGAATAAAAATAAGACAGTTAATGTAAATGATTTCAGCAGTTAACCGGTTATCTTTGCTTAACAAATTCTGTTCAAAGTGCAGTTTTTTAAAACAATTTTATTAATATTAGATTGTTTAGCACTTAAGGATTTTATATTTTAAATACCACAAAATCATATTTTTGTAACCATTTAAAATATAATTACTTTGATTTATTAATGATCTTGTGGCTTTAGGATAATAATTGAACTTTAAATGATTTTTGTATCTGAACGCGAAATAAAAATCGAAACAATAGTTTTAATAGTAAAATTACTTAACATATTTTTAACCACAGTTGAACTTGCATAGCTAAAATATCCCTCAAAATAACTTAAGTTATGGAATTGTTTTCACATGTATTTTATACAGTAATTCGTTACTCACCTCCCAGCATCTCGGCGATGGACTGCGGCATGGGCAGCGTCGGCGCCTGCAGCATCTTCTTGACGTCCTTGACGGGGACGAGGGCGCGGGCAAGGTCGCCGGACTTGTAGCGCAGGAACTCCTTGCGCAGGTCGCTGAAGCGGTTGTAGTACGCCGGCAGCTCCACGTCCTTGGCACTGGCCTCCCGGTGGAGGCACTGCCTCAGCGGCAGCTGGCCATCGGTGACCAGCTTGATCTCCGTGTCGTGGAGCGACAGAGATCGGAGGTATGCATCGAACTGGAGGGCGGAGACACGGACTCATTAGTACCCAATTGCAATTAGCACTTCTCGTAAAGACAGAGGGTGGGGCAAAGGTTGCGTATAGTATAGTATAGAGGAAAATACCCCAAACATTCCACCGGGCGGAGAGGAAAAGTAGTTGCTTTGGGTCACTGATAGTGCCACATTCCCCCCAATCGCTTTAATGCCATTGGCTCAAACCCGTTTTAGTGGCCGGCAATTATTGCCAATTAAGTGAACAGTTTTCAGCCGTGTCATGGTGAATAAATATAACACGCGGCTTAATGTCGCATTACCCGCTCGAAATCGCGACAGAGCAAGGAGTATAATCCAGATGACATCACTAATTCCAAGCCACCTTGCCCCGTTTCAATGCAGCTTATCACTATCTCCGGGCAATGGCTTTATTGGCCCTATTGACTTGCCCACTTAGTATGCCAGGCTTGTGCCGGATTTTCAATGCGTCATGTTCTGATCTCGCTACGGAACAAAGGTTCCCAGATGCAGTTTTAAGTCGAGCTAAGTAATTGCCTTGGCGAACGGGATGTGTATAAAGAAGATTAGGAGTAATATTAGGTCTAGACCGATCAAGTTGGGTGTTAAAGTTCAATGATTCGTTGGCATAATTACCAAACTTGTTTAACAGGAATATTCCGAAATATGGGACGTACCTTTATATGATAATATACGCAATAAAGAATGTTCAACTGAATATACAACCAAAAATCCACAAAAAAAAATATAAACTATCCCCAGATTAGTCAAGGTTCAGAGGGCATCAAATGTTTGAAGCATCTGAAATAATGATGATTCAACTCTTCAAACATTTTAAAATACACTTCAACGCTCCCCTCAACATCTATATCGAGATGTTTTATCTGCATCAGAAGCCAATAATGTAAGTCGCATGTGTTTGCCGAGCGGCATTTTCCAGTTATTGTGTCAGAATGGAACTGAATGTGGAACCGGGGGCTTGCCTGGAGTGTTTTCCTTATCAGTAGGTCAGATAAGCTGTGAAGGAGTAGGAGGCTATACTGTGGAATCTGTGATGGGCCAAAGGTCTTTAGAGGATGGCTTGTCGGCGCAAGAAAAGCGCCCACTCATCATGACTCCCTCAAACCGGAATCAGATCTTAAATAGACGCTTATCAGACATGGTTTAGAATATAGAATAGAATATGAACGAGTTCAACTTATCCTACACATGGAAAAAATGCACAAGTTTAATTTTTATTGATGTATCAAATCATATCAGAAGACAAATGAACAATAATTATTTCTGAATTAAGAAAGAAATGCGCATTCAATAGAATATTTAATATATCCACTGTAAAAACAAACGAGGTATCGAGATTAAAAAAAAAAAGGTTTAATGATAATTATAGTGTAGCACACGATTTTTACCAGTGTATGTGTTTACAACCCTGGTAACCCGATGCCCATTGATAAGTGGCGGCGCAACACTTTACTTATAAGTCGGGGGCAAGGACCAACAACGAATCATCCACATTTTAGAGCGAGCGTTCCCAAAATAGAGCCACTCGCTTCCCCAAAAACGTGTGCATTTACTAGTAACATAGTGCAGGCCTAATCTTATCGTAATCAGCTGATAACTGGCCGGAATCCAAACAACCCAAAACAACCCGAACAACGTGCTCTGATTACCGCGTGGATCGGATTGGATTATACGCACCTCTTCGATGGCCTCACTCAAGGGCTTGCCCGCAGCTTGGGCCTCTGCGATGGGAAGGATCAGCTCGGATCCGTTGTCCACGGTGCTACCGTTGCCACTCCCGGCTCCACTGCCGTTATTGGAATCCCCGATCGCCAAGGGCGGGGAACTGGCCGTGTTGTTGGTGACACTCGAGTTGTCCGATGAGCTCGAAATAGTGCGATCTTTGATGAAGTAGCCATCAGGCCGCACGAGTATTTGTTTGGTGCCCACGATCTGGAAATGTGAATACGGATAGAGAACAAACATTCATTAGTAAACCTTGACAATGATAAGTGCCAGCTATAATAGTAGGCGTAATATAAGGTTTAGCTCGATATAAGAGATAACAGCACCCTACAAAAGGGTATTATTATTTTAAACACAAGTTTGCGTTTCACTTCTTAAAATTTGTAGTTTTTATTACACAGGAAAACAAATAATGAAGACTTATTGAACCTTAACTCGTATCAATAAGTTCCGTATACTAGGATTATTATTTAATATTAATTTGCATTGATAAAAATAAATTTAAACAGTAAGCATGACTGTTCCCAGTCTTATCCCCTGGAACAGAAACCACTCTTGACTGAGCCCACTTTTCCTATCTCTATCATCCAATAGAGTGGTAAAAGTACACCTGAAACACAAACCACAGTTCTATGATTCTGGATCTTTCCGGGAAAGTATTTTCGAGGCGACCTTTGGAGATCCCAAGAACATTTCCCAACCAGTGACCGCAATTCCAATCCCAAGGGAACAAAGACTGGAGCTTACGTCAGCGGATATGCAAAGAAGTCTCGATCCGAATTGGAATCGAGGTTTCCTGCAGGTAGTTGGGCGCTATGCAAATCTAAGCGGGGTAGGCCTTAGGAAGAAAACTAAAATTGTGTTTTTCTTTGTTTCCCGATTTCTGCCGGCGTCCGAAATAGATTTGCATAGGCTTTGAATGTCAGAACAATACTGGAACTGGAGGTAAAAAATAAAAAGGGAAACGGGGATATGGGGATATGGGAGCACGGTACGGAAGAAAATGAAAAATGCATGAGCTGCGGTCATGTTAAATTCAACGGACAAGAATGTGGGCTTCAGTCGGGGGTTAAAAGCACCCCTAATTATGCCAACATGGGGATCTCAATGCGACATAGAGGAGGTTATGTTCCAGAGTTTCCATTAACCCACTGATTTCCGTTCGATAGAAACACCGATTGATTAATTAAAGTTCAGCCAGCTAAGAGTTCTAAGTGGTTCAAGTAGAGCCGCAGAGTGATAGAGATTAAGAGCAGGCTCACCAGTCGCCACTCTTACCCCTCGACACTCCACTTTGGGCCACTTTTTGCAGTTTGTTTTCAAATGTTAATTAACTTTAATTGTTGCCATACGAGTCATAACTAGCCTGTAATTAACATGCCAATTACTGTATCGGTATATGTGAGCCAGTAGTGCGAGTGTTTCTGTATCAAATCAAGGAAATTGCTCTCCAGCAAGAAATCTATAACAGAGAAATTCAATTTGAGATCAAGCTGACATGAAAATGGATCGCCTGAGACGGAAAATGGTGTTTCCGTTTGGGAAAGTCTTCCTCCGTTCAGGGAGAGCCACCAACAAAATTCTCTTATCACGCTGACCAAGTAAATAAACTATAATCAAGCGATACGATTTGACAGTTTGGACGCACTCCCCCTTCAGCTGTCCAAAAAAAAACCCACAGTCGCTCTATATGGCAGACAAATGACAGTCAGAATCGGTCAGCATATTGGTCGTTATTATTATAATTCAGTGCCGACTTCTATGGCCGGGGGCCTTCAATTCCGAAACCAATTTCGATTGCTGTCAGTGCAATATTACGATCACGATGATGCGGTTGAATACCTTGGAGAAGAGATAATAAATGAGACTTCACCATGACACTTTGGTCTACTATTAACTATTATTATTATTATTTATTGGAAGTATCTAATTTTTAGAGACGTTTCAGGAGTTCTCTCTTTTCGGTGTAACTCTGGTCACTCATGCTAAAATACTTTCCCCATAAAAAGTCTTATATATCGATTTTTATTTCTTTTGTATCCCAATTTGCAATCACGCATTTGTCTGTTGATTTAAGCTATATAAATTCATGACTTTAAAATGCTTAAGGTTTGCCAAAAAAATATATAAAAAGTTTGGTCACTTCGGAGGCACATAAATATAGCGACTTTTTCAAAATATAGCTCCACTTTCCACTGGTTTTGCGAATACCGTTTGAGCATAATGTGGCCAAGATATTAGCATATATTTCGCAGACTGGATTAGGTATTCAGATATACGCCGACATATAAAATATATTTTGTTCAGTAGTCCGGTCTAGACTAGTATGGCTTATTAGTGTCCGAAGGGAGCAGGTGGCGGGTGAAAGGAAAGGAGGATTTTGGAGAAATTCGAGCGTCTGCCACTGACCCCTTGACCCAGCCAAAAATAGCCAGAGAAAAGCGATATAATAATAATACTAATAATCTTCGTCGGGGACTCACCGCGAAGATTAGCATAAAAATTGGCCCCGAAGTCGAAACGTTTTGAGAAAGCCACTTAGCTGGAAGCCAGAGTTTAAACGTGGGTAATTAATTCACAATATTTTGGCAGCCGCAACAGACAGAAGCTGACTGCTCTGACACCGGGTCAGGGGCTTCGGATGGGTCAAAAATCTCGTCAAAAATCTCGCACTGAAATAGAAGCGTTCGTAATTGCGGACCCTCAATGTCGCCATTAAATGCCACTTAAGAGCGACGTGGAGGAGGGTTTAAAGCGGGCAGGACGGCAGGGAGTAGCTGCACTTACTAAAATGTTGCGTGCTCGTCATAGAATCGCGACAATGTCAGGCAAACATCTCGGGTACCCCCGGTTAATGCCAGCAAATAGCCTCAAGAGCCCCGACCCGAAGGTACACACAGCGCTATCTAATGGCCGGCCATTTCCTTCATCAGTTCTAGTCGGTGCGAAAACAACGTCCACTATATATACATATATAAGTAATATCTGAACACGCAGCCTCCGCCGGAATCGAAGCGCCCACGTAACCCCCAGATACTATACGATACGAAACGATACGGGTTTTTGTGTGCACTCGAGATTGTCAAGCATTGGGCAAATAAAATTGCGTATTGAAAGCGTCATTATTAGACCCCATGAAATGCATCGAAATGGGGAAATCGAAAAACGACTCAATCCGACCGATAATTATGGAAATAAACTAATACAAAAATTTCTCAGTCGAAAACAAAGCGATTAAAGAAATTAAAACATCTTATTTAAATATCAAATGTACTATATTTAATAATACTTGGGGAAAATTGTAAAATCCAGTATATTATTAGTATTAAAATAACACTTGAGAAAAAATGAGAAATCTTTTAGCATACTGCTACTTGAGGATGACACTTTTTTCCCCAGTGAAAAAGTGTCTCGAAGGATGGCAATCCCAGAGTATTACATCACTTCCAATTTCAATATATTCTGTGTGCTTTCTTGGAAAACTTGCTTTGGCGCTTGACAAATAAGTTTTAATGGCCGGCGATAGTTTGTCGGGGGAATTTCGTAATGCCATGGAGCGGGCTCCGATGAGGGCTTTCGACGAGACTGCAGGTCTCGGTTGTTGGCCTGCCCTTAGCCACCTCGGATGTTTAGAGATTTTTTCCAAACAATTAGTGTCAATCGCTTGGCAAACTCAAAATATGCAAATATCCATATACAATGTGGACACCCCTCTATATCCTCACTTACCCAATTGGGTGGGATCCCCCAAAAAAAAAAAAACATAAATACTTATAAACAGAGATCGACACGTGGAGCACAGGAAAGTCGCCAAATGACAGGGTTCGAGAGTGTCAATCTCGACATTCTTTTCTCGCGCTTTGTAAATATATGTCAGGGAGAGGTATTAAACTTTACCCACTAATTAGACATATGTCTGAATGTAATTGCACCCGACTGCAAAGTAGTTTCAGATATCTTTTTAATATTTTTTTTAAAAACTGTTCAGTGATCGCAACTTATACTTGTGCAATTTTCAGTTAAATGGTAATCAGAGAAATATAAGTATAGTACTATAGTTTACGTTGAATTGTTGTTGTTAAAATCTATGGTATTTTCAAAATGGCTGGCCCAGTAAATACTGTAGTCAAGCATCTTCTACATTTGGCGAATCAAAATCGAGAGCTGTAACATAATCAACGATCGCCATTCCACACAGTCGAAAGTGCAGCCCCAGTTTCTCTGTGTGTGCGAGGGGTCTGTTATCGCACAGCATTCATTAATTAAAGAGTAGACGAGAGCCGAGCGATCCAACAAAATGGTGGCCAGTGGGCGGCGCCAGCCGAGCTTATCCCAGATGTATGGAAAGCATTGTTTTTATACCCTTCCTCATGGTACAAATATCGAATTAGACTTAAAAAAGTAACATTTTATCTTATTTTGAAGCTTTAAAATTGAAAATCCTCACATTAGTTAATTCAGAACGGAGAATTTTTTTAGAAAAATTAGTCTTTTTTTAAAAAAATACTTATTAAAAAAAAATGTTTTTCATTGGTTTAACTATTTTGTCTGTCTGAGCTTGTTTTAGTTTTTTTCTTCTTATGATATGAAAGGATTTTGACTCACCTGTCCAGTGGTGACTTCCAGGAGAACAAAGACCAGCAATATGATCTCCTTCTCATCCGATCCTAGGCCGGATCCATTTTGGCCGCACGTGGCGATGTACAGTGAAACAACGTGCTCGGGAACCTGCATTTTGTCAATCTATTCCTGTGATGATTGTGCTGTTGATGTTTGACCCCAGGATTCCTTGATTTATGTCTATTGCTAGTGATTCTGCTCCTTGAACTGAAGCTTCATGCCAGCCTAGCTTTGGACTATCTGCATCTCAGGGCTGCTCCGCCAGCGGCTGTGCCTGAAAAAAAGGAGGAAATAGAGGAACCATTGATTACACAATCCACACTGAAAACTGCAAACTGCACACTTGGACTTTGGGCTGCATATTAAGCAAGCACTAATTACGAGTGCGTTCAAGAAATGTCAAACAAAGCGAATCGGTTTGTGGCAGTGTCAAAATTTGCCAAAGCGAAACCACTATAATGACATAGTATACTATATACTGTAAGCTCGCACTAAAAAATCGAAAAGAAACCCAAAGTCCGGTGATTCGCGCGAAACTTGGCAAAACGCTTGACACGGCGACATTTTGCATATGCAATCCATCGTCCGTCCGTCACTTAACCCATGTGACGTTGCCAGTTTTCCCGTCGCGTTGCCGCTTTTCAGCTGCATTTGTAATTGGCTCGGAATGGAGCTTCTAAGACCGCTGACGTCAAGCGGGTCAAATTGAAATTAAAGTATTAACCCCAGGCTGGCGATTTGAAATTTAATTTCGCCCGTTCAAACGAAAAGCGAATAAGCAAGCGGACGACGGACGAAAAATTACAGTGCAATTTTATGAGCATTTTTAATGTGAAAAGTTTTAGTCTTAATGAAAACACAAGACCCTCAGAGTTCAACCGAAATGGAGCTCATGGGTTAAGCGGGCGCGCAGGCGCAAGTCGCTCTTTGTAGTTGTCATGACTGCTCTTTGTTATAATTAAAATTTTAAATAATGCATACGTGCAAAAAGGCCAGGCTGTCGTAATTGTGCCACTTTAAGTGCTCCTCGTGTCGGATCCGATCAGATCGAAACGGAAGCTGGGCTTAACACAGTCAAGCTTCTCTAACTCGAATATAGTTCACATCATTTACCTTAAAAATATTTCTTACATCAAATGGTTTTATGTAAGATAATATGTATCTTTACCTAAATGTGTTTTTATTTCCTGTTTATTTTTAAGAGGGTCATAAGTTAAAAAGTCAATGTGTCATATCATCACACTATTTGATGTAGACCAAAGTTCAAAGTTAAAAAACTATAATTTTAAAACAAAGTTCTATAAAAGATATGAATGTCATTATGTAATACCATCAATAACTTAAATTCATTTTTATAAAACTCTCAAGTTGCAAGTTGTACAACGATATAATAATCACCAAACTTTTCCAAAAATGAAAAGTTAAAAATATTTAATTTTGTGATGTTGGTCTTATAGAAGTTAGACTGTAGCATAACGCTCTGCTTTACTAGTCCACACTTGACTTGAAACTCATATGAATCGAGGGGATTTATCATCCCGAAGAGTGACCGTGTGGTAATGAGCGATTGCGGTTATAACTCGCGTCTTGTGCAATTTATGACATTTGCTTTTTACTGGTTTTTAACGCTTTTGCATTTTGTGCCCTTTGGTCCGTTTTTTCCGTTAGCAGGAAATCATCATCAATACAGGTTCCCACGATTTCTTGCTTCCCAAAAGAACTACATGCGTCTTCATGGGTTATACCTATAAAGCCTAAACTTGTTTGTAAGTTTCTTACTTTTGACACTATTTTTCGACCTCTGAGGTTAGGTAAACGGAAAAGCAGTGCGTTAACTGTTGCAATATAAGCTAAACCCCGAAAGTGCTCTATTTCCTGTTCCGAGACTTTAGGCCCTTACAACGCCATTAAAACCTTTTGATTTACCTCAACCTCTCCAGAGTGGCATATCATAAGTTGTGGGCTTATGAAATGGTTTTTGTGCTTTTAATAGGTTGCAATGGAAACGATAGAGGGATACTGTTATACCAAAGGGGAAGACACGCATTGATAAGTTTTCCCTTTCGTTGGACACTTGATGGCAGATGGAAATGGAAAAGGTACTCTCTTCATTAATGAATAACGGAACGCGAGTCTGTGCCCAATTAAGTAAAATAAAGAATGACCGAAAAGACAATGGGAAAGCGCTGGGCCGTCATTAAAAAGAAGAAACCCAAAATACAGACTAACTGGAAATCAAACTACAGTGGAACTTTCCTAACTTGTACTGATACGTAACAAAGTTTAAATTACCGCGGAATTGATTGGATTAATATCAAGTAAATTTAAATAATATAAGAAATTTAATATTTTCCAAAAATATAATTTGTTCTAAAAACATTTTTAATTTTACGATCTTAAATATCTTCGATAGAAACGATCAAGACATTTCAGAATAAATTTGTTTTGTCGTTTTATTAGTCTTTTGGACTTAATTTAATATGTTCGGAATATGACTATCATAGATCGATATTTTTATAACGTCGATGTTCCGGAAGATATACATATAATAAACGATATATGTACGGTAAGAAACTGCAATGTATTTATTTATTTTCTTGGAACATACTGAAAGTTGGTCCTGAAAAATCGATCTACACAAGTTTGCCTGTAAATGAAGATCGATCCCCGTCAGGCACCGTTAAGATCTTGGAAAGACAATACCATAAAGCAGTGATTAAATACGAATTAGTGACAGGCGCAGCAGGAGTGGAATAAAAACAGCTAATACCACGGGAACGGCAACAACTATTGCAATTAATGAATTGCTACCTGCTGATTGGTAAACCAGAAAGTGAGCAGATTTTACTTGTTGGTTGTTTGTTTTTTCGGACTTGCTTATTAAATTATGAATTGCGCAAGTTTTTTTTTTACGGTTTTTGTTTTATGCATTGTTCCCGCTTGCAAATATTATTTGTTGTTGCTGGCGTGTGCCGTTAGTTGTTGTTGGGGCAACAGGAAACTTATGATTGCGCAAAATTGCTGACGAGAAATGCCAATTGCCAAAGTTATTCATACAAAAAAAAAGTGGTAGAAAACGCAGAGAAGAAGTAAAATGATTCAGGCTCTCGCTCTATCTGGACTTTTATCTTATTCCCTCTTTCAACTGGATCTCACGCAAGCAACAAGTGCAACAATATTAATGTGGTTGTTGTTGTTGTTTTGATTCTTGCCAATAAAACCAAGATCAACATTAGGCGAAAATTGAATACCCTGCACATAGTCTTAAAAATATATGTGCACTTAAATTTATTCACTTATCAAAACTATAAATATCTGCTTGACCTGCGCCTTTGGATTTACTTTTACTTTTTCTTAGCACTCTAATTTTTCTAACCAGCATGAGTTTCCAATTCAGTTGATATCTTATCTTGGCAAAATGTAATTTTCTTAGTAGAAAGGTTTTTACAAAAATTAGCACACAGATTATAAATATTACTAGATTACTTTTTCATTCCTTTGAGTATATTTGTCATCTGTTTCATTTTGTTTTTAAAATAACAATATTTCAGTTTTTAAGAAATAATTTTCTTCAAATATAAAATGCATTTAAACTTTTAGATAAACTAATGAATCCTTTTTTTGTAGAGGGTATTATAAACAAGTCTGGCTCTTTTTCTCTCTGCATCTTCGTTTCAATCTCAGCTAACTGTAAATTTGTTTTCACTTTGTTTAGCGCATCGTTTTACTGTTGTTTTTGTTGATGTTGTTCATTCATTTTGGTATGTTTAATAGATTGTTCGACTTACAGCAACAACAAGTGGTTCTCAATCGGATATTCTCCCTCTCTCTCGCTCTCGCTCTTTTTTAAGATGCGACAGGTTGTTGGTAAATGATATCTACAGCTTCCTCTTGCTCCTCTTTCTCTTTCTCTGCTTCTTCTTCGTCTTTTTACTCACTCTCTTTCTTTCGCGCCGACTTAACTGTTTTTACTGTTTTCTTGGTTTATGTATTTTTTGTTGTATACATTGCACTTGTTGGATTTTCACAATTTTTGGATTTTATTGCACTTTCTTTTCTCTTGCCCACACACACACAGGCATTTAACGCCTATGTATGTATTGCAGTTAAATTATTTCAACTCCCGCGTTGTTTTTGTGGCCTTTTGAATAGTTAACTACCTTAATTTAAGGCCAGCAAACAAGACTCGTTCTTCTTCTTCCTGACCTGTTGCTTCTACCACTTTGTCTTGTTGTCTTTTTTCTAGTTTTTTTCGGTATGAGTGTGCGTGCACGAGCGAGTGTGTGTGTATGTGTCGGACCTTTTTTGTTAACTCTTTATAACGACCGCCGCGCATCCGCTTGGTTTCAAGTTGAAAAAACAACTGATCGCCGCAGCGAAACGCAGGTAACCACGAAGGTAAATTAAGGTGAGCTGCGCTTGCAGAGAGCAAGAGACAGAGAGCGGAATTCCAGCACGCACATACCCGCAAAAACAACAACATGGCCAGGTGAGTGTGTGTTTGCCAATAGGCTAGTTGGTTACGCGGGGAGAGAGAGTGCTCCTAAGAGAGGGAATTACACATACTCCGCAGTTGAAGCTTGGCTTTCAAGCGAGAGCTAATCCGCTCTGTCTCTCAGTTAATTTCCCACGCTGCGCAAGACAGTTACGCTCAGTGAGCATGACCCCCCTTTAGCTCTTTCTCCCACACATAGAAAAGTTACCTGCGCCGCTCCACCAACACACTCACCCTCGCACACACTTACACCTGTACTCTGTTTGCTCCGCTCTTCTTCTTCTGTATCTTCCTCTTCTTCGCTTGCTCAATTACCAACGGAGAATGGAGAATAAATTGCCCACGTAGAATACATTGACTTACCTGTTTACCTTTCCTTTTGGCCAGAATCATCGTTGTCAGCAATTAAGTATTATTTACTAGTATTAACTATTATTTATTTAGCAAATATCACTGTCTTAGGAGCGAGCGAGGAACACAGAGCAAAAGCAACAGGCGACGGCGACTAACTGGCTGACAATCGAGCAACGTAAACGCGTTTTGGTCTAAACCAGCGAAAGAGGGAGAGACAGCGAATATTGCCAAGAGAGCGCAGGTGTCAGTGTGCGTGGGTTGCTTACCTGAGCTAACGCGTGTCACGGCCCAAAAAATGATCGTTATCGAAATGTTAACTTGCTTTTTAAGAATGCAACTCCATTATTTCAACATCTAAATTTCTATCATTTACATAATTAAGCAACCAAATAAAAAAAAATTTAAAAACACCATCAAAATGGAAAAAAACTGTAGTACAAATTGTAACTGGCATTCGCATCGTATGAGTGATTTTTATGGACCATTTTAAAACTCTAATTTCATATCTTATGGGCTTGTCGTTTGCCAAAAAGTATGCAATGATTTTTGGATCGACTCAAATACGAAAGATTTATTAGACCCTAAGGATTGAGTTTTATTTTTACTTAAATATTAAATTTGTTCGATGTGCCATTTGCATATAGTGTAAAAATAGGAAGTAATAATTAGGGATCGGAAAATGACCTTATTTACAACCAGAAATTAATTTTAAAACTCTTTTTTGTTTGGCGATAGCTTGGAAATGTTGGTAGGATCCGTAACTTAAGTAGTCAACAAAGCAAAACTTCGGCGTCTTATTTTAATAAAAAGTTTGCCCTAACGTTCATGTCTCCGGTCCACTCCGTACCGAAAGGTAACATTTTTTAAAAGCAACATAATACAATAATACCAAAAAAAAATTGTAAACGAATATTTTAACATAATTTTATCAGATGACTGGCTGATAGAATACCCAAAACTGCAGTTCCAGAGCGAATGACTTGACTCTTACATGGCGATTTCATATCTTAAAAAGGTTTGACAAATTGCAAGGGCTAGGGCACATTTAATAGATAGATTTTTGGAATATTGCACAATATAAACATATAAAATGGCATACTGATAAGGACAAAGGCCGAAGATAAAAGATAGTAATCATCCTCACAAAATGATCTCGTTCTTGAAGCTGCGGCTGAGCTCCTTGTGCGGCAGTACTATGCTGTTCAGCAGGATCTTCTCGGCGGGGACCTGCACGAAACAGCCTGCAAATGGTGGTTCATTTAATTAAGAAGTCTTCCAATGATTCTAAGTACTTACCCAGTATGGTAATCGAAGGGTTCAACTTGCCCTCGTTGTTAAAGAGCGGTGGGTTTTCCATTTTGGCAAACGGCTTATTGGGATCCGGATCACTGGGCGTGCCCTCGACACGTGCCCAAGCCCCAATAATGGAGCCCCTGCCCACAATAGAGTGAAGGACGAGCGTATGATCCAGGATCTGAGCCTGTTCTAGAACAATCGATTCGCGGATGCGCACACCAGGTCCAATTGTCACTCCAGGTCCTATTGCCACATTAGGTCCCAGCTGGAAGTTCAAATAAAAGGATTATTAGAGCAGATGGTCTTAAAAAAAGGAGAAGAAAATAAAATTATAAAAAACTCTTCATAATTTTCGTCTACCCACCACAGCGCTGTGATGAACGGTGGCACTGGGATGGACATAGACATCCGGGAACACGGTGCAGATCAAGCTGCCGTCACCTTCTCCACGTTTGGTTCCCACATTGGCCAATCTTTCCGGATGCGTTTTCTTATACAACCCCAGGTAATGGCGATTGGCGTAGATTGCGGATCCAGCGGTCTTCAGCTGGGACCACCAATTGGGGACCGGCATGGCGAAGAGTTTATCGGTGCCCGCCAGCGGAGTGAGCACCTCCTGCTCCCACTTGATGTGGCCCTGCTCCCGGCCATTTCCATTACCGTTTCCATTGCTGAATCCCTGGCAGCCGTACTCCTGACCTCGCGAGTGGAAAATCTGCGCCAGCACAGTGAATATATCCATGGAGCAGACATACACCCCGCAGTTAATGAAGGTGGACACATAGGAGCTGGGCTTCTCCACATAATGGGACACGGCTCCGCTGTTCCGATCGAACACCAGGCATCCGTAGTGCAGCGATTGCTGGCGCGTTGCTTCCGTGGACATGATGGTCACCAGGGCACTCGATGGACGCTTCTCGTGAAAACCACACAGCTCCTGCAGCGGAAAGTCAGCGCACACATCTCCATTCAGAACGAAAAAGGCTCGTGGGTTGCCAGCTCTAATTTGATCTCGGAAGTGGTACATTCCACCGGCAGTTCCCAAGGCAGTGAACTCCTGCAGGTATCTAGAAATAGTGTTTAAGGGGAATCTTTGTTTAGTAAGAGGTATTCACTGACCCTGTAAAAAATATACTACTCTTATTTGATTCTATAAGTACTTTGGATACAGTTCTTTGGATAACTTCGTTATTTTAAAAGATAATTTAATTATAACCTGTACAAAGATGTACAATGGGATATAATGGAAAGTTTAATGATTAATAACTACGGGTAGGTGGGCCTTCCGGGGCAATCATAGAATCACTCCCAACCTTGCACCTTATAGACCCACCTGATATTGATGTTGCTGCTGCTGTACAGGGCCTGCATGTCGCCCACGAATCCCTCCATCTGGGTCTGCGGGTAGTAGCCGATGATCAGGATCTCGCGGAGATCGGGGAGCTGGGCACAGGCCTCAATATGATGGGCGATCAAAGGACGACCGGCCAGCGGAAAGAGCGGCTTGGGCGTGTCCAGCGAAAGGGGGCGGAAGCGGGTGCCCTTCTGAGGGCCCCCGATCAGGATAACGGCCTTCAGCATGGTGTGCGTTCAGCGGACAGATGACTAATGCCGTTCGATCAATTTGTGGCCGATTAGCAAGATATATCTTTTCTGTTTACGTTGCCAGTTGGAAAATATTCGGTTCTGCAACAGCTGATTGCGCTAACAGCACTTGGAATAACTGATAACGGACTTAACAGCACGCTGCGTTTAGACTGTTAAATGTACTACTTATGTTATACATATTATTTGTTTTGAATTATTTATTGGGTTGTAGACTTGATTAATTAATATTATAATTCTTCAAATGAGAATAAATGAACATGCCATTTTATAAACTATCTGATAAATAATTTGACCGCGAGAATAAAAACTCTTATTATTTCGATATAAGGGTGTACTAAAGTCATATAAATAGTCTTTATTATTTTCACTGAAATTAAAAATGAAAAATCATTATTTTTTCAGCACATCGCATGTAGCTGTTCTCAAATAAATATTTATTTCGATGGTACACTGTAGAAAAAAAACCTGGAAGACTGCCTGGAAAGACCTGGCCATTGGAACACAGTTACCTTCTGCCCAACACTGAATTGATTTTCCAGTTTTAAATTGTGAACAATTCGATTTTTATCTATTTTATACAACGAAAACCATTTAATAAATGTCTTTAAATACACGATAAGAACAAAGGCGAAGAAGCACTGAATCTATGGATAATATGGATAGCAATACTCTGACGGTTGCAGCAATACGAAACAGTGTGGGGGAACTCCTCGAACCGAATCCGGGGAATTAGCGCACCAGATCCTCCGGATTGAACATGCCGCGGGCGCGACGCAGGATCGAGTCCTTGCTGGCGTCGTAGGGATGGTCCTTCGATGGAATCTCGAGAACAGCGGGAACTGGCGACGTGTGGGCGTCGATCACGTGGCGGATGAGCTCCGCGCAGTTCTGGTTGATCAGGATGATGTCGATGTCGTCCCGCTTGAGGAACCGCTTGAAGCAGTCCTCCAGCTCGCTGACCGCCGTGTTTTTGTCCACGACCATGAAGTTCGGGTGGCGGTTCTTGTTGATCTCGCCCACGCCACCCAGCAGGAATCCCACGCAGGTGTCCTCGTCGCCGATCACGCTGATCAGTTTTCCCTTGATCGCCGAGTGGAGAGCCATTTCGTTGGATTTTTGTATTTTTTCCGGGCAGCGATGTGGACAGCGAAAATAAAACCTGACTTTGGAAAATGTTCGGGTCAGCTGGTCTCTATCACATGACCCATTTGCGCCTAACAGCACTGGAAAGCCGTTAACAGCACATTGGCAATTCGGTATTTTTATGTAATGGGGTAAGTACCAAAGATAAATACTATATGTAACTTTAAAATTCGAAAAGAAAATTCATTATTGTAAAATAAAATTGTCTTCACATAAAAAAGATAACTTTTAGTTTAAGCTATATGTAGCTTTTATTATTGGAAAATTCGGTAGACGTATATTAATATATTGAATAAAATATGTTTTGTTAGCTTACACCGAACTAGAGCTCTTAATTAATAAAGTAAAAGTAAACAATAATTTTACCAAAATTTCGAATCTTAAATTCAAAATCTTACTGCTATTAATTTCTTAATTGAAGAAAATGTGAAACAAAAGACTTAAATAATTATTTACTTGTTACTTATTCCGTTTGGAATTGAGTTTTTTTGTGGGCAATCATTTTTAAAGGTTTTTTTACTTTCATATAAGTATTGAATTTAACATTTACGTTAAGGCTTAAAAACAAAACCCGGTCACATTGCCGGATTACGGATTTAAAAAGTTTTAGTACTTACTGTACATTCCTGGAGATTCGTCTTAAACTATTATTATTAAAAAAAACCAGCCATCACAAAATCTCTTGATATGTATATTTATCAAATTTAATCGTAGAAAGCTAGAGAATTTCGTCGCGACAGGCCACCCAACCTTTCTAGGAAAACCCGGGGTTATCACCACTTATTCGAGGAGTATAAGGTATGTAAGTACATGTATAAATGGTATGGATCTCAAATAGAGCCTTATACTTGATTTATAATGACTAAATGGGTTTCTAAAAGTACTTTTGCACATATTGGAATTAAGCAAACACTTACCTTGACCCGACCAAGACACTCTTATCAATTGACAGCTTCTTTTTGCATTCAAATCTATAAATTATTAAAAGGAAAAACAAAATTGTATGCGCTGTTCTGACGAGCTGATAAGCTACGGCCACGGCTTTAAATTCAAATCATCTTTCGGTTGTCTTCCAGTTGCTTCAAAAGCCATCACCCGGAATGACGGCGGTAGAGGTTTTTATTGTTTTATTCGGTTTCCTGAGCCATGGATCGTCCTGGATGCTCGAGGAGGATTGCGGAGAAATTCAAGGTGTTGAAGGTAGAATTCTTAACGGGGTTGATGCGAAGATCTTACATAATCCTTGGATGGCACTAATCAAAACCCCGACAGAATTTCTTTGCGGAGGAACGCTTATTACTAGACGTTAGTATCCGACGATCATTTGGCAGCGATTATATAACTATAACTATTCAGGACATCTCTTTCAGGATTCGTTTTGACTGCTGCGCATTGTGAATGCTCCAATAAGGACTGCACTAAAAAACATACGGACATGTAAGTTGCTTCTTTGGGGGATTCCCTTTTTTAAATGAGGCACACTTAAATAATAAAATTAAATTTTATTCGTTCCTAACAGCACTGCTCGCTTGGCAGAATATGACCGGTCGACGTTGGTAGATTTCGGACTTACGTATGAGGACTTTCCTGTTGAAAAGGTTTACGCACACAAGGGTTTTGTAATGAGAAATCACCAGAACGATATAGCTCTGCTTAAACTAAAAGGAATTGTGGAATACAAACGCCAAATTCAACCGATTTGCATTCCGTTGGAGAGTCGGAAAAAATCGGGAATGGCTAAAATTATGAAATTCACGGCAATCGGCTGGGGAAAGACTCAAAGCGGTACTAATAGTGATGTCCTCCAAACTGTCGAAATAAACAGAATACCTAATGAAGATTGCGAAAATATAATCTGGGAAGGACTGGTTGACTCACAGATCTGTGGTGGCACAGGTACTAAAAAAGACACCTGCACAGGAGACTCCGGAGGACCCATATCCTCATCAGTTTATTACATGGGCAAATGGCGCGAAACCCAAATCGGAATCACTAGTTTTGGACCCTCACAATGTGGCGGAGCGGCCGTATACTCCGATTTAATGTACTTTTCCGACTTTATAGAGCAAACTGTCATGGAATCCGACATTACTGTCGTACTTCCGAAGCTTCAATTCTTGGATGCGGGGTGCTTGGCCACCGAAGCATCAACCGGCGGAAAATCTTTTCCGTGGTTGGCTCACGTCTACATGGACGCTTTTCTGATCACCTATGGAACGCTAATCTCCGACAGTCTGTACATTCTAAGATTTACCTGCCTGAATTGACTCATATTTCTTCCAGGGTTTGTGCTGACAACTGCCCAGTTTCTTCCCGAAAACGCTCCATTGTAAGTAAATTATTTTACTAATAAGTCCATAATGTCATACATTTATTTATGCAGAGAGGTTCGCCTGGGAAAGTTCAGTGGAAGTTATGAGGTTACCCATAAGGTCAAGACTTTGCACAAGCATCCTGACTTCGTGAGGTTGGCCCAGAACGACATTGCCCTGATTGAACTGAAGAGTGTAGTAAAGTACAACAGTAAGTGTGGGCAAAAAATGGAAATGAATTCCTTTACTAAATGTCCCCCTGTGCAGATTTAATCAGGCCGATTTGTATGCCCTCATTAACCGACAATAAGGAGCAGCAGATGTTCCAGAAAAAGGCTGACCAAGCCGATAGACTGCGTGTCGTTGGCTGGGGCAGGTGGGCTTCAACGATGGTTTATCGGGCCAATTCCAGCGAGTGCTATCAGCAGGACCACCAGGAAATTGGAGACAAGCAGATCTGCGTGGACCATCCTTATGACCTGAACTTGGGCAGTGGCAGTCCCTTAGTTAGGTCCTTCAAACACGGAGGAAGCGAAGGATTCACCCTCGTCGGATTGGCCAGCTTTGGAAGACACGGTCCTCGTCCCCAGGACGTCTACACCAATGTTTTGAGCTACTTGGATTGGATTCGCCCTTTGGTTAAGCAGTAGAGTCCTTCTAAAATCTCAACAACTTGTTATAATTCGTCTACGAATAAATGAATCGTCTTTACTTGAAGATTTGGGATCACCAGGTTAACCCCCATAAAATGCGCAGAGGAGGCCAGAAATAAATAGGAAACTAAATTAAAATAAATTTGACAAAAAGTATGTTCGACATACTTCGAGTATGCCTCGAAGATAAAGATAAAAAGATATCGAATTGAAACTTTGCTGACACCCTTAGCAGTTTATAAGTCGAAACAGCCGAGATCGGCCGACTATATCCTATAGCTGCATTATTACTAAGCGATTTGAAGTATCATAACTTTGGTGTTTTTAAAGTTAGCAAGTTGGAATTTTTTATGAGTATTAAGAATGCATCATATGAATAATTTTGTAGAATATAATTTACAGAATATTCTGCAAGGGTATATCAACGCGTCGGATACTCAAATTCTGGAAGAATGTTCAAGGAAACCGAAAGAAGCTGATTTCCGCAATTTTTATAAACTCTGACATTCGACTTTATACTGATATAAACATATTTAATTAACAGGAGCGTCCATAAGTTGCATAGGTGGTGCAGCTGCTAAAAAATAAATATTTTTTTTATTTTCTTTTCTGTATGCACATTATTTCGAGAATATTATATTATTATTTATTTTTTTTTATTATTTATATATTAAAATTTTAGATCGATCCGAGTAAAACATCCGAACTTGTAGGGAGTTGAACGTAGGTAAGTAAGCGTGTTTTATATTGAATTTTTGGGTGTCCCAAACTTTAAAACGCTCTCCTGAAAAGAGGCCATTTCAAAGTCGGTGTACACGATCCTGCAAAATCTATCGAATGGATCGTTTTGAGATTTTGTACAGTATTTCTCTACCAGATTTTTGTTTTTTGAAAATGTATTATTTTTAGAGCAACAAATAACTCGTCGTTTTGGGCGATAATAGGGGTTGACCTTGTGCTTTAAAAAATCGAAAAAAAAAAATAAAAACTCGACAGCGTTACCTGAGGAATCTTGTCCTTTAACTAATGAAATTTAATTTTTTCAATTCAGATAATTCTGTGACCAGTTATCGTGTACACCGCAAAACGTTATTATTATTATTAAAAAAAAACTGCCATCTCAAAATCTGTTGATATGTATATTTCAATCCTAGAAAGCTAGAGAATTTCGTCGCGACAGCTTATCTGGTTAAAGGCCACCCAACATTTCTTGGAAAACCCGGGGTTATCGCCACTTATTCGCGGAGTATAAGGTAAGTACATATATATGTATAAACATATGTTCTTAATCAGGATCAACAGCCGAATCAAAAATAAAATGGTATGGATCTCAAATAGAGCCTTATAGTTGATTTGTAATGACTAATGGGTTTCCAAAAGTACTTTTGCACATATTAAATTAAGCAAACAATTACCTTGACCCGACCAAGATACTCTTATCAATTGACAGCTTCTTTTTGCATTCAAATCTATAGATTATTAAAAGGAAAAACAAAATTGTATGCGCTGTTCTGACGAGCTGATAAGCTACGGCCACGGCTTTAAATTCAAATCATCTTTCGGTTGTCTTCCAATTGCTTCAAAAGCCATCACCCGGAATGACGGCGGTAGCAGTTTGTATTGTTTTATTCGGTTTCCTGAGCCATGGATCGTCATGGATGCTCGAGGAGGATTGCGGAGAAATTCGCGGTGTTGAAGAAAGGATTCTTAACGGGGTTAATGCGAAGTTCTTACATAATCCTTGGATGGCACTAATCAAAACCCCGACAGAATTTCTTTGCGGAGGAACGCTTATTACTAGACGTTAGTATCCGACGATCATTTGGCAGCGATTATATAACTATAACTATTCAGGACATCTCTTTCAGGATTCGTTTTGACTGCTGCGCATTGTGAATGCAGCAATGTGGAGTGCACTGAGAAACATACGGACCTGTAAGTTGCTTCTTTGGGTGGATTCCCTTTTTTTAAATGAGGCTCACTTAAATAATAAAATTAAATTTTATTCGTTCGTAACAGCACTGCTCGCTTGGCAGAATATGACCGGTCGAAGTTGATAGATTTCGGGTTTACGTATGAGGACTTTCCCGTTGAAAAGGTTTATGCACACAAGGGTTTTGTAATGATGAATCACCACAACGATGTAGCTCTGCTTAAACTAAAAGGAATTGTGGAATACAAACGCCAAATTCAACCGATTTGCATCCCGTTGGAGAGTCGGAAAAAATCGGGAATGGCGAAAATTATGAAATTCACGGCAATCGGCTGGGGAAAGACTCAAAACGGTACTAATAGTGATGTCCTTCAAACTGTCGAACTAAACAAAATACCTAAGGAAGATTGCGAAGATATAATCGGGGAAGGACTGGTTGACTCACAGATCTGTGGTGGCACAGGTACTAAAAAAGACACCTGCACAGGAGACTCCGGAGGACCCATATCCTCATCAGTTTATTACATGGGCAAATGGCGCGAAACCCAAATCGGAATCACTAGTTTTGGACCAAAAAAATGTGGAGGAGCGGCCGTATACGCCGATTTAATGTATCTTTCCGACTTTATAGAGCAAACTGTCATGGAATCCGACATTACTGTCATACTTCCAAAGATTCAATTTTTGGATGCGGGGTGCTTGGCCACCGAAACATCAAGCGGCGGAGAATCTTTTCCGTGGTTGGCTCACGTCTACATGGACGCTTTTCTGATCACCTATGGAACGCTAATCTCCGACAGTCTGTACATTCTAAGATTTACCTGCCTGAATTGACTCATATTTCTTCCAGGGTTTGTGCTGACAACTGCCCAGTTTCTTCCCGAAAACGCTCCATTGTAAGTAAATTATTTTACCAATAAATCCATTGTGTCATTTCATTTATTTATGCAGAGAGGTTCGCCTGGGAAAGTTCAGTGGAAGTTATGAGGTGACCCATAAGGTCAAGACTTTGCACAAGCATCCTGACTTCGTGAGTCTGGCCCAGAACGACATTGCCCTGATTGAATTGGAGAGTGCAGTAAAGTACAATGGTAAGTGTGGGCAAAAAATGGAAATGAATTCCTTTACTAAATGTCCCCCTGTGCAGATTTAATCAGGCCGATTTGTATGCCCTCATTAACCGACAATAAGGAGCAGCAGATGTTCCAGAAAAAGGCTGACCAAGCCGATAAACTGCGTGTTGTTGGCTGGGGCAGGTGGGCTTCAACGATGGTTTATCGGGCCAATTCCAGCGAGTGCTATAAGGAGGACCACCAGGAAATTGGAGTCAAGCAGATCTGCGTGGACCATCCTTATGACCTTAACTTGGGCAGTGGCAGTCCCTTAGTTAGGCCCTTCAAACACGGAAGAAGCGAAGGATTCACCCTCGTCGGCTTGGCCAGCTTTGGAAGACACGGTCGTCGTCCCCAGGACGTCTACACCAATGTTTTGAGCTACTTGGATTGGATTCGCCCTTTGGTTAAGCAGTAGAGTCCCTCTAAAATCTCAACAACTCGTAATAAATGGTCTACGAATGAATGAATTGTCTTTACTTGAGCTTGATAACACAGATTTGGGATCACCAGGCTAACCCCCATAAAATGCGCAGGGGAAACCAAAGTTCCTCAGAATTTGGAAAAATATTATGACTAATGGTATAATCGAAAAGAGAAGAGATACATATGTCAAGAAGATTATATTTATTACTCTCTACCGGAACTCAAATCTTAATTCTCGGTATTTTGGCAGCTCAGTTTTATTATTCAAAAGTACATATTTTCTTGATTTACCATATTTTCTATCCAATCGGAGTAACTTTTAATATTTGTATAAACGATTAGGCCATTCTCAATAAGGCTTATCATGCCAACCAGAAAGTATCTATCGACATCTTTGGTGTTTTGAAATGTGCCTATTACTGAACCCACGCATCTCGTTAATGAAGTCGCGAGGTTTCTCGACACAAAATTGAGTAGGTTCTAATGGAAATCAAATTGTTCTAGAACAATTGGAAGAGACATTTATTTTAATTATTTTAATTTTCTAATTTCATTTAAAATCTAATTGGTTTAGATTATAAGAAAAATAGTACGCGAAAGTTTATGTAAAATTTGTTAATTTCAGTTTTTGGGAGAAAAAAAAAATTAACAATCTTTTGAAATTAAAACAAAACGTTGGGGCTAATTGGTTTAATACTGGACAACACAAGCATTTTAAATTTGACATCATTATAAGTTCGAAAATGTTTATATATATATATTCTTGATGAGTATTGCCAATCGAGTTGATCTAGCTGTTTTAAATGGAAAACAAAAAAATAGTAAGAAAAGCTTCGGTAATCTTTAACATATACTTAATAAAGCCGAGATGAAAAATATATCTTATTTAAAAATTTCAAAACTCTTCAAATTCGAAAAAGTATTTTTAAAAAGGCTGTACAGTATTTTAATAAGGCTGCAAGGCGTTTTTCAGCGGCCTCGGCTGGTCACACTGTCATTCAAGCAAGAAGCAGCACGCGCCGCAGAAATTTGCCAATAATTTTCGCACCTCCCTCGAAAGCGTCGCAAGAGGAGGCGTCGTGAGATGGCAATGGCAACGGGAGCAGGATCTGGAGCAGGAGCGGGAGCTGGTGCGTCCGTGGAGCAGCTGGTCGCCCAAACACTGCAGGCGGCCACCAATCCGAGCCACGAGATCGTCCAAAAAGCGGAGGCGCAGCTGCGCGAGTGGGAGCAGCAGCCGGGCTTCTTTCCCACGATCGCCCGGCTAAGCATGCGGCGGAGCGGGGGCGGCGATGGCCAGTCCTCCACGGAGGACTCGGAGGTGAAGGTGCGCTGGATGGCGGCAGTATACCTCAAGAACGGCGTGGAGCGCTACTGGCGGCCCAATTCGCGCCAGGAGCTGCCAGCCGAGCAGAAGCAGCAGATCCGGGAGGTCCTGCTGCGCCACTACGACGCAGAGGAGGTGCCCCAGGTGGCCCTGCAGATAGCCGTCCTCCTGGGCCGGCTGGCACGCACGGACTACCCGCGATTCTGGCCGGAGCTGCTGCCCACGCTGATGAAGCAGCTGCAGGCCTGCAGCGCGGATGGGGAGTCGGCCCTGCAGCAGCGCATCCTGATTGTCCTGCACTACGTGCTAAAGGCACTGGCATCCCGGCGACTGATGGCCGAGCAGAGGGCCTTCGAGGAGCTGGGCTCACAGATCTTCGCCTATTTGGCCTGGGACATCTGGGCTCCGCTGACCGACCGCTTTCTGCAACTTGTTCGCAAGGAGGAAGCACTGGCCCTCAATGCCCTGCAGCGTGCCTATGTGGTGATGAGATCTCTGCGCAAACTGGTGGTCTACGGCTGCGCCAAGCCGTACAAGTCCACGGACCATATGAACTTCGTGGAGCAGCTGTTCCAGCGGCTTCGCCAGTGCCTCGAATTGCGCTACGAACTGAGGCTGGGGTCGGCCACGCCCGGAACCGCCACGATACTCACCGAACTGGAGCGCTTTGTGATCAAGATGATGAAGACCCTCAATGAACTGATGGAGCGGCACTCGGTCTCCTTTGCGAGGTTCGTTCCGGTGGCCCTGGAGTTCAGCTTCCACTATGTGTTCCACGAGGGCACCGCCCTCATCTTCGACGCCGGCGATCGCATCAACTTCAGCAACTTTGCCATTCAAGCACTGAACATGCTGAAGGGGATTATGCTGAGCGGCAACGATAGCATCAGTGCTCCTCCCGAGGGAGGAGCGTCCATAGAGGACGAACTGCTGGCCAATGCTGCCCAGAGCCACGCCAAGTTCTTCACTGCGGAGAGAATCACGTACATCTGCGAGAAGATCGTGACGCACTACTTCCTGCTTACGCAGCAGGAGCTGGAGGAGTGGCAGCAGGACCCGGAGGGCTATGACCAGGACGACGGCGGTGGCGATGCCTGGAAGTATGCTCTGAGGCCCAGTGTGGAGACCCTCTACTTCACCTGCTTCACGCAGCACTCGCAAGTGATGATCCAGGAGGTGCTCCGTTTTGTTAGACGCGCCCAGCAGCTGCAGCTCACCCCGGAATCCGATCTGAAGGCCATCCTGCTGAAGGACGCCATCTACAATGCCGTGGGCCAGGCCGCCTTCCACTTCTTCAACAAGCTCGACTTTGGGGCCTGGCTCACATCGCAGCTCCTGGCAGAACTGCGTGTGGAGGCGCCCAACTTCCGTATCCTGCGTCGACGCATCATCTGGCTGGTGGGCCACTGGGTGGGCGTGCAGCTGCCCCGGGAACTGCGTCCCCTGGCCTACGAGGCCTGCCTGCACCTCCTCCGTCCGCAGGAGGACATGCCCACGAGGCTGGCGGCGGCCAGGACCCTGAATCTGCTGATCGACGACTTCGAGTTCATGCCGGAGGCCTTTCACCCCTACTTCCCGTCCCTCTTCGAGGCCCTCTTCCTGCTGCTCCACGAGGCCGGCGAGTGCGACACCAAGATCGTGGTGCTGGGCACGATGACGCTGCTTGTGGAGAAGATGAGCGAGTACATCGAGCCGCAGGCGCTGCAGTTCATCGCGTATTTGCCGCTCCTGTGGCGCGAGAGCGAGGAGTACGAAATGCTGCGCTGCGCCATTATCGGCACCTTGGAACAGCTGGTCCGAACGATCCGTGATGTGCCAGAGCCCATGAAGCCCTTCCTCTACAGCGTCATCGAGTTGAGCACTGACCTCCAGGTGAGCGGTGGTTTTACTACTTGGGATTATGGTAAAACATTTGTATTTTAAAATCATAATCGTAATAAGCCGAAGAGATACCTCTTTTGTTCGTCTGTCCGGGGAAAAGAAATCTGTTTGTTTTAAAAATTTTGAAGTCCTTTTTAATATAAATCTTTTGATTTTTACAGTTTTTAATGCTTTTAAAGAACTAACTATTTTTTTTTTGGTTTTTGAGGTTTTGGGTTTTACGTATAAAAAAAAGGAAGTTTTAACATAAAAAAAACTATTCGATTAAGATTTAAAAGTTTTAAGGGATTTAAAGTTATATTTAATTGTGCATATATCAAGCAGATCCTTCTGCCAGACTCTATACATATATTCCGAGAATCATATTTGACTTCGAAATAATTATTCTCACAAAACAAAATGAAACCAAAAATATTAATTTAAAGCTTAAGCTTAAAGTGTCTTTAATCGTGCAGTGAGTAATGGACATTGCAATAGAAATATAAATTTTTTATTTAATTCTAACAGAGGTCGGCAATTCATATGAATTGTGAATTTCCCAAGTAAGATAAGACTTTGGATATTCGGGGTGTAGAACAGTCACACGGCTTAGTTTCCAAGGCAGCGAACGGCATTCAAGATCCAGTTTGTATGAGCTAGGACGTCCGTGTAGATAGCTGGTCCGTGACAAGAGCTGTGGCCATAGCTTACGATTCCGAACTGAATGGTGCGGATGGTATGGTTCTTTGACATCTGGTGCATTAGTGGACCTCCAGAGTCACCATCGCATGTGTCCCCTTTCAAATTACCCGCACAAAACTGACCCCATTGCATGGGAATCTGAAAGAATCGCTCGCAGTCGTGTGGTTTGAGCTTGTACAGGGTTACTGTCTGCAAAATGGAGGCGTAGTTCTTCAGGTCGGTTTTGCCCCAGCCCGTGGCCTGGTAGCTGGGACTTTGGGCGGCCTGCTCGGGATTCCGAAGTAGACAGATCGGCCTGATGTGAACTGTGAGAGATTGGGATCATAATGGTTACTGCATTCAATTAAAACTTGTTATAAGAGATATAAAGGTATTTACTTTATTTCCCAAGAGCAGTACTAAACTTAAACTGAGCTTGACCTACCAACTAGCAACAGTTTGCATCCTTCTTACCTTTGTATTTGACAGTTCTGTCCAGTTTAATCAAACCTATGTCGTAGCTTCCTCCTGGTGCAACGCCATAATTGTTATGGAAGTAGGACAACTGAACACTGTACTCCTCGTGCGGGGGTAAGCAAATGTGGTCCCTGCAATCTATCCTTGTCAATAAACTGTACTCCCCAAGGCGAACAGATCTGTTTTGGAAGACATATATAGATTGAGGCAGACAATGGGTTATTTGTGCTTACTTTATTTCGGCGTAGTACAAGCAGTGCGCTGCAGTCAGTACAAACCCTAGAATACAGAGATTTATATAGTTCAAGATTCGAAAGATATGGCAATTACAAACTGTTGGTGATTAACGTGCCGGCACAAACTAAAATGGAGTTATTATGCAGATACGCCATCCACGGGTTCGATCCGATGACTGCAGCTTGTCCTGCTCTGATTCTATATGCCGTCTTCGAAATGTTGATGGTGGTTCCGCAATCAGGTTCCAAAAACTGGGCTCTTGATCCCAGTGGCAGCCATAAAAGGCAGCCGAAGGCAACAATCCACACTGATAACATTGTCTCCGATGGTTCAGCTCGTATTGAACCCCTCGCTGGAAGTACTTGTCAATTTAACGTATAATTATAAAAATATAAATTGAATGAGTGTTTTTATATGCGTACGCAGATCAAGTTTGAAAACGGCGCTGATCAGACGTCTATATGCAAACGCAGTTTATTCGGAAATTGTAAAAGCTATTAAATTGTATTCATTATATTATATGTATGTTACAAATCTGGTCGATTGAACGACTGCCATAGAAAAGATCGGCTAAAAAGGGCGCATTTCTTGTTGTTTTTAAGTAATATGGTGCTTTTATATATCCTTTCGGATCCATCTATTAAGTTGTCTATAACAGCTTTATATTTTCGCGTACTGAACCCTTTCTCCAATTTTCGGTAAGACTGTAAAGGTATTTAATGTATTAAGTAAAGGCATAATTTTATATCTTGGAAATTTAATAAAACTCGATTATATTAGTTCCCCTGATTTGTAATAATAATAAACTCTGCTTTATACACAGCAACACTCACATGTCTACCTCATCGAGGACGGGATTATGCTCTGGCTGGCGGTGATCGGGAACTCGTCTGCGCTGACGCCGGAGCTACTGGCGCTGTGCGATCACCTGCTGCCCATCATCGAGATGTCGTCGGAGAACCTGCGCACCGTGCTGCAACTGATCCACGCCTACATCCTGCTGGACGCTCAGGCCTACCTTAGCCGCTACGGCGAGGGATTCGTGGCCTACTGTGTGCGCTCCTTCGAGGACATCCGCGTGGAGGGCATCATCGCCATGCTGCGCATCTTCGAGACGTGCCTGAAGACGGACGCGACGATGGGACTGCGGCTGGTGCGCCCGGCACTGCCCTTCGTCTTCCAGCAGGTGTGCCTCAAGCAGGAGTTTCCCATGACCATGGGATGGTACCTCACCATCGTGGCCCGCACCCTGCTCATCGATCAGTCTGTCTTTATGTCGGTGGTGCAGCAGCTGCCCCAGGCGGACGCCCTGGCCCGCATCCTGGACGTGTGGATCGAGATGTTCCCAATGGTCCCCGACACGCACGCCGAGAAGCGCAAGCTCTTCTGCCTGGCCTTTGCCTCGATCTTCGGCAGCAACGAGCTGCTGCTGGCCCGCCTGCCGCACATCCTGCAGCTGGTGGACGAGACCCTGGGCGAGGTGATGGACAAGCAGTACGCCGCCGCCGAGGAGGGCGCGTCCAAGACCACGCCCCGCTTCTACGACTCGTTGGTCATCCACGACGAGCACGAACTGGACGAACTGCAGCAGCAGCTGGGCAGTGGCGGCGGTGCCAGCGAGGACTTTCACGCCAAGGGCTATCCGGCCAAGACCTACCACGAAGACCGCCACAGGCAGCTGGTGCTGAAGGACCCCGTCTACAAGATCCCGCTCACCGAGTATCTCAAGTGGCAGCTGCAGTCGCTGCAGGCCCAGCTGGGCTCCCAGCGCTATGAGCAGCTGCTCTGCTCCGTGGTGCCCGAGGTGCTGGAGAGGATCACCATGTACATAGAGCAGACGGTGCCCAAGGCCTGCGTGGTGTGCGCAGGCTCCGGGTCCGGATCGGGGGCGCCTGCGGACGAGACGCTCGCCGAGCAGGTTGAGTCCGGCTGATCCCGGACTGCTGTGCTTCAAAAGCTTTCTACGCTAAGTTATTAATGTATTTTGTATTGAAATTATATATTTTTAATTGTTAAAAAGCTATATTTTAGTCGTTAATCCACCGCCGGTCGCCGTTCCATCTTTCCGCGGAGCAGCGTACGGATCGTTTCGTCCTTCTGTTGCAGCTTATGGCGCAACTTGTCCAGCTCCTCGGCGTTCCGGGCGTGCAGACCTCGCAACTGCGACTCCTTGTGCTGGACCAGCACCTCCAGGCGGCGCACCGCCTCGTAGGTGTCGCGCACCTCCGCCTGCCCTGCCTCCAGCTTTTGCGCCCACTGCAGGGCCATACGCAGACGAGCCTTCAGCCGATCCCGGCCATGCTTGGCCTTCTCCGTGCTCCGGACTAGTGAAACCGCCCGTGCGGTGGTGGCCTGCAGCTGATCTTGGAGGGAGGAGCGCTCCCGAGCGTGCTCCTGCCTTAATTGCTCGAGCAGGGCCTTGCACTGATGCACTGCATCCGATTCGGCGGGAACAGGAGCAGGAACTTCCGCTGGAGTACTTTTCAGGGCGGCCAATTCCGACTTGGTGCGGGCATAGGCCGCCTGCAAGTGGTCCATGTCCAGGAGCAGCGTCTGCGTGCGCTGTTCGTAGCAGTGCATCACCTCCACCAGCTTCTCCTTGGCCAAATCGGTTTTGCGGGTCTGGGTCTCGGCTTTGGAGCGGCACACCCCTAACTGGGCCTGCAGGCACACACGCTCCTCGCGCCAGCCGCCAAGATCGCGACGCAGCTGCTCTTGGGACTGCAGCTGAAGGGGATTACGTTCAATTAGATGGGGTTTTGGGTGGCTCCCACTTTCTGCACTGCCCACTTACCAGCTTGGTGTTCTCCTCGAGTGCGCGCTTCAGTTCCCCGGTGAAATGTTCGAACTCCGTGCTGAACTGAGCCAACAGGGCGTCCTTGTCCCTCAGTGACTCGTCGTAGGCCTGCAGGAGTGGACCCAGCGTGTGAGTGGGTAATGGGGGACAGGGTGCCGTTGGCGAAGTGGCCTTCGCTGATCCTCCGCCCGGTGGAGCCTCCTCCCCGTGGCGCCTCTGATCCTGGTAGCTCTCGATCTGCACATTCAGCCTGAAGACGAGCGTTTTCAGCATGTCCACGTCGCCGGCCAAAGTGCGATTCTGGGCGAGAACGGTGTCTAGCCGCTGACCGAGCTGCTGACAACGGGCGCAGCTGGCCACCTGCTGCTCCGCCTCCGCCAGACGCCGCTCCAGCTGGCCACTGTCCTGGCGCAGTTGGTCGTTCTCCTTGGCGAACTGGTCGTTGTACCGATGCAGAGTGGCCAATCGCTGGACGAGTTGCTCCAACTGCTGTTCCTTGGCCTGCAGCTGTATTGTTTTTATGGGGAAAGTCTTCAGAGCATCGGCTGGATTAACGTTAGGTCTCACCAGCGTGTTCAAGGAGCGCTCCTTCCTGCGATCCTTGTGCCCGGTGCCCAGGCTGTCCTGCTGGCGCTGCTGCTTCAGCTCCACCTCCACACTGCGCGAACGACGGTTGAAGTTGCCCGACAGGGTCTGCAGGACCTTCCGGTTCCGCTTGGGCTGCTGCGACTGCTGCTCCGGATCCGGCTGATCCAAGTCTGTGATCATCACATTCCGCGTGCTCATTCTGGCAGCTGTGCTCGCTCGAATCCTGACACTTTCTGCCTGGACTGCTTGTAAACAAAGCCGAAGCCACTCCCGCCCCAAGACCCGTGTCCTGGCCACGTTGCCATGGCTTCCAAACGGGTGTTTGACCCTGTTTTTCCACCAGCCCGTAAGCCACCCTCTTCCGGAGCTGGAAACTCGCCCCCACGCCAGTACCTGTATCGATACCTGTTTTGGAAGGGAATTACTCACCTGTCTGGTAAGCTGAAAATATGAGTTATGTGTAAATCATAGGTGCCCAAAAACAGAGCATAGAAAATGTCTTTTTAATATGTTTTGACATTTTGAGTCTCTGTTACTCTCTCCTTTTGTGGGCATATATGGTTGTAATCTGTTCAAATATCGTTAAATATATTTTAGAAATAATACAAAAAAGAGTTTTCATTTTTTTTTAACTTGATTAATTTTCATCTGTATAAGTTAGGATATACAGATGCATTATCAAATCCCAAAAGCGTAAGATGAAATCAAACATCAAACTTTTATAGTCGAAATGGTCAGTTGTCATGGGTTACGATCCCGAGATGAATTGATCATGGGGAATTTAGGTGTATACTGATAACATACTTTTTCTACAAAATTTGTTTATACATTATATTATCAGTAATTATTTAATATGCATTAAGCCAATTGTGAATTTCAAAAACTATTTATAAACATACATATAAAACATACAAATAGATAAAGCTTGCCATCAAAAATACGTATCATAAATCCTATATTGTATATATACATATATGAAACACATTTTTTGAACTTATAATAAGTTTATATTTTTGGTTGGGATTTAAAATGGATTTGTTTATTATTGAGTAAGTGCTTCACTACAATGCCCTTCTAGAAAACATACTCCATTTAAGAGTAGTGAGGACACTTCTTAATGAATTAAAAATAATATAAGGGTATTCAACAGTTGTGATTTTCGCCGATTGGTTCATTTCAGAGATAAGCTAAATATATATTATGACGATCGGCGACGCATCGGGCATCAGTTGTCGATGAGTTTGTTAAGATGAGGTACGTTATAATTGCGACACTCACCATCGGAGTTTTCTGCCTTTCGATCACTGCTGAACTTTTGGAGCCAATATGCGGTGTTGCCCGCGGGCCCGAATTTAGAATTGTTAATGGCGAAACTGCGATAATAAATTCTAGTCCATGGATGGCCTTTATCCACACCTCCACCGCTTTAATTTGCGGGGGCACCCTCATCACCAGACGTACGTATTTGTGGCTCGATATCTTCTTATTTCACGTATCCAATCAACGTATTCCTCCTACAGGTTTCGTACTGACTGCAGCGCATTGTCTTAATGAAGGAATGGCAATGTAAGTATGTTGCGGTGATATAAACCGAATTAGTTTTTTCTTATTAGGAAAAAAGCTGAAAAATATGCTAAAAAAATATTTAAAAATATTTAGGAATTTAAACAAGGTGAAGAAGTGGATCTTTTCTAAAGATTTTCTTGTTTTACTAATGAATTTCAAAAACTGGTTTTTATTTATGTATTTTACAACTAGTAACAATTTTTCTGGTGAAGTACTAAATCCACTACTATACAGTGAAGTTATCCCTTACAATGATTATTGATTTGATTTGAGCAGAAAGGTTCGATTTGGCGAGTACGATGAAACCACCACAGTGGACTGCGTCAATGAAGTTTGCATCCCGAAAACCGAGGAGTACAACGTAGACATGGGCTTCCGGCACGGGAAATTTTCCGAGGAAGAAAACCTGCACGACATCGCCCTCCTCCGAATGGAACGGCCAGTGCAGTACCAAGGTGAGATTCAATAGTCGACTCTTCCGGATCGCCTCACTTAGTGCCTTACTCTTTTGCAGTCCACATCAAGCCCATCTGCCTCATCTTGGACAAGTCATTCAAGGACGTCTTCGAGGACATGCAGTGGTTTGTTGCCATGGGATGGGGCGAGACCAAAACCAACCATGTTAAAGGGGCGCTCCAGACCGTGATGCTCCAGCGTTTCGATACAATCCGATGCTGGGAGTCCCTGACCAGGCCAATAAACGACGGACAGTTCTGTGCCGGCAGCGAAGGAGGCGACACGTGCACCGGTGACTCCGGCGGTCCGCTCATCCGGAATGTAACATACAAGGGGATCGATCGAGCCGTGCAGGTCGGAGTGGTCAGCTACGGCAGTAGGAACTGCACCGGCATCGGCGTCTACACATCCGTGACAGAATACTCAGATTGGATCGCCACCATTGTGCGAAAGAACACCGATACGCAGGCACCAAGGATGCCAAAATCTTAGTAGCACAAGTATTTTTAAAAATGATTTTGATATTTGCCTATCAGGAATATATATATCTCAACTTAATATAATATATGTTAGGGAAATCCCTCACCAACAGGCAGCTTTTAATGGATGTTGCTTAAATCGGAGGGAATATCCCATAGCAGTTCGTAATCTGAAAAACGAACGGCGCGGCCATGGGATTTTATTATTTGAGATTCCGAATTTTAACGGCGGAACTCTGATCCCAAATCGTATGTCTTGTTTTATACTCTTGCACAGATAATACTCTCTGCAAGAGTATAATTTAAGTCAAAAGTTTGCAACGCAATGAAGGGCACATCTTGATCAACATCTGGGGAGTCAATCTAGCGAATCGCTAGTAGTGATGTCCCAGCAAAACAGACAAACAGTTTCTATGCAAAAAAAATCATGTTCAAAATCATTAAATTGGGTCATTACTTTGAACCTTTTGTTTACAATTACAAAGTCCAAGGCAAAGAGAAAAGTTTGAATAACGTATAATGTTTGAGAAATGGCCAATGGCTGAAAAGAGTAAAGAACAAGGGGGAATTGTTTGACTATGTCAGTGATCCTGATTAAGAATATCTATACTTTATGGGTCGGAAACGCGTCCACTAGCTCTTTATTCAACCAATGGCGGATATATATGTTGTTTATTTATTTATGATATTTAATGGAGCAAAATGAATTAAAATGTTGTGAAACAAACTGAAAGCACATTTCGTTCAGTGGACTTCATCCTATTCCGTCGCTTTGCATTGTTGATAAGCTCAACTTGCATCTCATTAAACGATTAATGGCAGCTGCAATGAGTTCAGTAACCAGGAACAAGTTGCGCGAAATGAGGACTTTCTCGGCTTGGTCCGTCATCGTCGTCTGCCTGATTCTCCGGCAGCAGGAGGTGGTCGCATCCTACTTCCTGTACCCGAACTGCGGGATATCCTTTGAGTCGAATGTGTCTTATCGAATAGTTCGTGGAACGGAAGCCAAGATTAAGTCGGCTCCGTTTATGGCGTACTTGTTTTACAACTCCGATCTGTATTGTGGTGGAACAGTCATTACCCATCGTTTGTATTTTAAATATCATTCATTGCTATATAATTACAACGTTTTCCCTTTTCAGGGTACATCTTAACAGCCGCTCACTGCATTAGGACCAATCTGTAAGTATTCCCCTTGTCAAATAAAGAATACTATTGGTAAACTGACTTTAATACAGAAAGGTTCGCCTGGGAGAGCACGATAGTACAAGGAATCCCGACTGTCAGGACGGGATTTGCAATCCCCCTGCTGAGGAGTTCGACATCCAGATGGCAACCAAGCACAGAGCCTTCGGTGCAGCCCTAACCCACGACATTGCTCTGCTTAAACTGACTAGGAACATCGTGTTCAATGGTGGGTTAAACACTCAATGTATTCCTTTAATTTAGTTACTTATTATGGGATCACTCCAAGCCATATTTTCGGGGTGATGATCATGAACGGATTTCCTTTTGAAACATTAAATGGTGCCAACTATCTCTCTCCCCAGTCCACATCCAGCCAATCTGCCTGCTCCTCAATCCGGCGGCTTCTCCCATTGCGACCGAGTTGCAGGCCTTTGGGTGGGGCAGAACCGCCACCCAATACTCCTCTTCCGTGCTCCAGACCACGAGGCTAACCCGCTACAACAACAGCTACTGCCAAAGGAGGCTCCCGCTGCTCCCAGTCACCCAGAACCAGATTTGCGTCGGTCTCCAGGGATCGGACACCTGCAAGGGCGACTCCGGTGGCCCACTGGTGGTCAAGGTCAACTACGACGGATATGCCCGCAGTCTGCAGCTGGGCATCGTCAGTTATGGCGAAGATTACTGCCAAAGCCCGGGGGTCTACACATTTGTGCCGAACTACATTCAATGGATCCAACATGTTATGCAGACAAATGGGTATTAACCTTAATTATTATTAATTGTTTTACCAAAATACAATCAAAATCAAATCAATATATTATTATTTTAAAAGAGCCAAAACAATAGTACACCACTTAAAATGTTTTAATAATTACAAGACCTGAAGACTACAATCTCGTAAATAAAATAAATGTAAGTTCCTGAGAATTGCAGCTTTTTATTTCTGAGCTGATAAGCTCAGCTTGGAACATATTTAACCAGAACAGCCAGATGCAATGAGTTCAGTAACTAAGAAAAAGTCTCTCGAAATGGGGACTTTATCGGCTGGGATTGTCATCGGCGTCTGCCTGATCTTTCCAAGTTCGAGACATAATACTACTTTACTTATTTTCGTGCTAAATAGCATTGTTTTCCCATTTCAGAATACATCCTAACTGCTGCTCACTGCATTTTGACTAATCTGTAAGTATCTTTTATATTTATTTATATTAGCTATTACTATTCTTTCTGCGTTTTAGGAAGGTGCGCCTGGGAGAGCACGATATTACAACGAATCCCGACTGTCGAGGGCTGATTTGCAATCCAAAATCAGAGGAGTACGACATCGAAGTCGCAACCAAGCATCGACACTTCAATAATATAACCATGCCTCACGACATAGGTCTGCTCAAACTGAACAGAAGCATCAATTTTAATGGTAGGTTATCATGGCCTTTAAGTTTATCTCAGGTGTTATACAAAGTGGTGATCTTTAAACTAATTCGAAAACTATTTTTTGAAATATCTTCTATTTCCCAGAACACATCCAGCCCATCTGTCTGCTGCTTAATCCGAGGAGTGCGACCCATGTGCGTGAGTTTCAGGCATTCGGCTGGGGCTTGACCGCATTCAACCAATTCGCCACGGTGCTGCAGACCACGGTGCTCACCCGATATGACAGCCACTACTGTCGTAGGGCTCTGCCAGCGGTAGTCACGGATAACCAGATTTGCGCTGGCTTCGACGACAGGGACACCTGCGAGGGCGACTCCGGCGGTCCTCTGGTGACCAGGATGGCCATCGACGGGGTCAACCGCTACGTGCAGCTGGGCATCGTGAGCTTCGGCCCAATAAAGTGCAGGAGTCCAGCCGTCTACGTTACATTCAATGGATCCAGCAATCGATGCGGGCACTTGGAAATTAACTAGTGGCTTTCAAATTATTATTTTCAGACAGTTTTTAGATTCAGAGATGTGACAGTACCGTAGGTTCCATGTAAACAAAAATCTTCAAATTGTTGGTAAAGAAATAATTGAAGGCAAAATAGTTGCACTTGGCATATATTTTAAGAATTTGTATGGGAAAAGCGTTTACCTATTATTGATATTAAATATTATATAGAATTTTTGCCAACGTGACAGTACATTTTCGTAGCTTAAAGATCCAATAAGTTCAATGCATTTTAATTAAGGAAAAAACCACTGAAAAATTGTTAAATATTTTAAAACAATTTTGCTATTATAGTACTTATTTTTGCTCTTCTAATTTTCTGTCTTATCGTTAAAAATAAATGTATTCAAATTTAGCACAGATTTCTTGGTTATTAAAGAAATTCAAATAAAAAATGGAAATGTGGGCTTCGTACATTTCGAAGAAATTATTGTTTTTGACCCCAGATTCCTGCTTGCTACTGATAAAGCTTCAAGAGAGGCTGAGTTGAATTAGCAAGGCAGTCGTTGACGAAAGCATTTCAGTATGTTCGCGTTGATTTAATCGCAATGAACACCATATTTACGGCTATCGCAGTGCTGGCCAGCCTGTTCCTCTTTTTTTCGAAGGCCGAATCCGCTCAACTGCTCTTCGAAGACTGTGATATTGCAGGACAATACCCCAAACAACAACCTGGTCCCTGGACAGCCCTTTTGCATAGAAGTTCTGATGGAGAACAGAGTACAGTCGTTTGTGCCGGAACGCTTATCTCAAAAAGTGTGTATGCCACGGAACTTTACCGAACAATTAAAAACCAATTTACATATTTCCAGTGTTTATTCTGACTGCTGCGCATTGCATTAAAGCTAACCATATCGTGTAAGTATTAAAATCAGCATTAATCTTTCAAAATGATTATTTTCTAAATTCGCATAATTTTTTTTAAAGACGGTAATATAATGATTGATACAAGCTAAATCTTCTAAGTTTCCTAATGTCTTAAATTTATTGCAAAATTTGTCCAAAAATGTCTGAACTGACTGAATTTTCTGCTCAGAAGGGTGATTATTTATTTTTTATTATAAATGATAGAATAGTTTAAATCTACTAAGTTTCCTAATTTCTAACATTTATTTTAAACTTCGAATTGATTAAATGTTCTGTTTAGAAGAGTAATTATTTAATTTGTTCTTCGTAGAAAGGTTCGCTTGGGGCAGTTTGGCAGACTAAACAAAAATGAGCACCCCCAAGACCATTCCGTGAGCATTTCTCTAAGGTTTCGTTACTTCGACAAAGACTCGAAGAAAAATGACATCGGCCTGCTGCAATTGACCGACCCCGTGGTGTTCAAACGTGGGTATTAATGGAAAATATATAAGTTTGTGGCAGGTGCTCATTGCAATTTTTGTTTACAGCATACATACGGCCAATCTGCATTGATGTGCACTCGAACGAGGCCCCTACATTTAATGATTTCGTCGGAAATGCCTGGAAAAACTATGAGGTCGACTACTTAGCTAAGGAGCTCGGCACCATTTCCATTGGCATCAAGCCGCAGCTGTCCTGCCCAGAACTACATAACGAAAGCCAGTTCTGTGCTGGTTCCTTGGATGAATTGGATACCTGCGATGGACTCGCCGGCTCAGCCCTGATCCGCAACAATACGGGAAAAATTTTTCAGTACGGCATCGCGACTTCGGACTTTATGGAATGCGGCAAAGCGCAACAATACACCAATGTGTCGATGTTCTACTCGTGGATCGATGATATTGTGACACTTTTCGAACATAATAATTATAGACCGAAAAGAAGCTCTTTTTCAGATGCCAGTAACATGCGCCTTGTACAATGAGAAAATATTTTCGGAAGGAAGATAATACCTTCTAGAATCCACGTCTCTTCTTTGCAATAATAAAAAGTAATTGGCTTTGAATTTCATCTTCTAAAATAAAAATAAAATGTTTACTACTTTGGAAATTTTAAACATAAATGTATTAAGTGAATCATACATGAATCGTACTTCAGGCGGCCTTTGTATCAGTTGCTGATCTTTGGCATTATAAATAAATACACAATAAATATTTTTCAACTGTATGAAGCCATACTATCAGTATGTGAGAATGACATTTTGCGCAATGAAGAGAGCAATCATTGGATTGGCAGTAATGAACGGCATGTGGATCTTTGTCCACATGCCCACCCACCTCAAATGTGACGGGTCTCTTTCAACCGCTCTTCTACTGAATAAGATACTTTTTTGGCAGATATTAAGTACATTCTTTGTCTTTTCGGCTGTGGGTGGAGTGAAGTTTGTCTTGATCGAAAGGCTCTTTCATCTGCAGCTCACCTCTGTCCCATCGGTAATTTCCTGGTTCACGGTCACCGGTACAGTAACTTGTATAATGACGACTCCATTTGGACACTCTACACCAGAGTTCGTCAATCTCAGCATCCTCAGGAAGGCCATCAGCTACGGCAGCTGGATCAAAGTGGTGGTCCTTTTCCTCGAATCCGAGGACTAAGAGTAGGAGTCTATAATAAAGATAAGTCACGCGTGGCTTATAATAAATCAAGTTTTTATTGATCCGGTGTTTGTATTGTTTGTACAGATGGACTACCGATTAGGCCAGCAGATAAGCTAAATCTAGTATGACCTGTCATGACCTCTTGAATTTCCGATGAATGTGTATATAGGTATTTCCCAGAATATTCCAGAGATAAGAGTCGCTCTAAAGGCAAATAATCTTGAGCCACAGCCTCAGTATCGCAATATGACTCGTCGCGAAATGAAGAGCTCCATCGCCGTGGTCGTAATAATCGCCAGTTTTTGGCTCCAAGGATCGCATTCAATTCTTTTGGAGAATAATTGTGGAGTGGATAGTGGAAGGGTGATAGAAAATGGCAAAAATGCTGGGCTAACAAATAACCCTTGGATAGCTTATCTGCATAAGCGAGAGCAATTCAAGTGCGCCGGAAGTCTTGTCAATCACTGTTCGTTTGCAAATTAACCTATTGCCAAGCAGATAATTAATTATTCCATTTTAGGGTTCGTTCTAACCGCGGCCCACTGCCTTCCCGATGATGGGGATATGTATGTTTAGTCTTTATAGTACATGAAACATTGCAAAATGGAAACCATTCTGCTGAGATTAATGCTCATTGGAGTGCGGATGTGGAACTGATAGTACTTTTTATTTCAGAAAGGTTCGTCTGGGCGAGTACAACAGCAAAACCAAAGTGGACTGCGTGGAACACACGTGCCTCAAACCTGCTCAGGACTACGATGTGGATATGATTTTCAAGCATTCGTCCTTTGATGCGAATAATCACGCCAACGACATTGGAATGTTGCGTCTCGAGAAGAGGGTGGAGTACCAAAGTGGGTCGGGTGAAAGCCGGAGTGGATGTCCCTAATAATCGAGATGTTTTTTTCCATCTGCAGCCAACATCCTCCCCGTCTGCATTTTCGTGAGCTTTACTGAGTCGTTAAAGAAGTCTTTGGATGCGGTTCTCTGGTTCAAGGCCTCCGGATGGGGCAATTCTGCTGGGGACACCAACGGTACCGTGCTCCAGGAACAGGATATACTCCGCCATAAGAGCACGGCTTGCTCCGAACTCTTTGGCAAGGATCTGGCCTCCGATCAGATCTGCGCCAGTATGGATAATGGCGCCCTCTGCGACGGCGACTCCGGCGGACCGCACATCAGGGTGATGAGGTACGGGCAAGAGTTCCGCAGGGTTCAGTTGGCGATCACCAGCCGGACGAACGCCGAGTGCAAAGGCTCCACCATCCTCACGGATCTCAGTAGCCACGCCGACTGGATCAAACGGGTGGTGCATCGGTTCGGTCCCCTGGCCGATAAGCAGTGGCCAGACAATGGCGTGAAAATAGAGCCCACTTTCGTATAGTGGATACTTAAAAAAACAATAAGGTTTCAACCTGATTATAATAAACACAAAAAAAAGTAATTTTATAAAGGAGGTAATACTAGTGTTTTGTATGAGAAAACTTCTTTAAATAATAAAATAAAATGCATGCAAAATAAAAAACAAAGGTTGTGTTATAACTTCAATGCAATTCTTATTAAGACTTGAAATAAAAGCTGCCATTCTATAAATTAAAAGAAAATATGTTTTTCTAAGAATAATCATTAGTCATTCAAATTATCAAGAAATAAAGCCATTAACAATAAGCCGTAAAATATGTTCTGAGTTCAAGGTACAGATATTAAAATGTAATCTTCTTGGAAATTTTGAAAACAATTTTAATAAGATTAAAAATCCCAAACAATAAACAATAAACGATCGAAAAGGATGAGTGATATCATCTTTCCAAAGAATTTTATTTTAATAAATAACGATAAATCCATTTTCTTCTTTCAAATTATTGTCGGTTTAAAACCAAGCTAAACGCTTTGTAATGTAAAATGATTTTACCTTACACGTAGATAAGAAAGTTGGTCGCTGTTTACAAATTAAATATTATAAAAAAGGGGTTAAATTATAAAAATAATAGAATTGATTTATCAAAATATTTTATTACAATATTATTGTGCTAATTGGAAACACATTAGGCGGGAAAAATAGCAAGGTATTCCCAAAACAAACTAAAGCGTTCTAAAAACTAGTTTGCATAAAAACAAGGCAATAGACAAACACTTGTTCCAATAACAAAAACGTGATTGCGGTTTAAAGCAAAGGTGAGCTTCCAAATTGTGTCAGGGATAAAGAAAGATATTCGTGCTGGAGTCGACTCATGTTGGCCTACACGTGCTTATAATAAATACATTTTTTGTAAACAATCTCGCATCGTTTGACTTGCTAATCGATTTTTGTGGGCCCCTCCCGATCTCAGACCATATGGAAGTTGACTCAATCATGAAATATTGCAAATACACTTGTGACTTAAGAACTCATTAAAAATATTAACTGCTTTTTCCAAATTAAAACACAATGATATTCGAGCACTACACAACAGAAAGAATATATAGTTTGTAGGTAAAATTTAATAGGTTTTAAATATATACAAGGTAATACTATTTTACGAGGGGATGAGTTTTTTGGGAATCACTTTTCCAACTACCGCTTTCGCAGAGAATGCTGATAATGTTATTTTGCAGTTGATATGCTGTCGCACCGGCAATAAACGCAACCGGTTATTCCGGCGCATTGTTGGGCGACTTGATGGCAGCGGTCTAGGGTAAATCCGAGTCCAGAGATTCCGGCGGAGTCACTGCATGGTGTGTCGTGGGTGGATGTAGTGGGAGCCGGCGTTGTTGTCCTCCCGGTAAATGGCCGTCATCAGGAGGAGCAGGCTGCCGGCGATCAGCGCCCTGAGAGCCGTTCCAACGAATCGAATGTACTCCATGTTCTGGACTGAGTGGCTGAGCAATTAACAATCTTTGCGCGACTGGCTTTGAAACGAGACTGAGAGCTCGAAACGAAAGCGTCCGGAATTTATTGCAGCTCCACCGCAACGTGTTTTCCCCAAGCAGGTGGTCGGATTATGGGTTCGCCGGATCAGGGGGTAGTTTCCCAGTCGCCGACTTGGTAATGCCCCGATCGTATGCCGTCACGCCTGCACCACATTACACCACAGCCCTCTTTGTGATGCCACAAAAGTATGTAAGACTGCACTCTACAGATAAAAAGCAACTCGAAAACCCCGCCGAACCGAGATCGTTGACTGGTTCCCTCGACTTGGCTATAATGAATTCAACTAACACATTTTGGCATCGTCTACGTGCTAAGATTGCAAATCGGAAGAATTGTGCTTTAGAGACGAGGCAGCTGCGTAATTTGTTAGATCATTGCTCTTTAGAACTGGCAGAGACTGGACTCGAGGAATCTGAAATAATCGTCTGAAGTCGGGTTCCCCTGGATATATATACTGTCTTTGAAACTTACCGCACATAACGCTGGAACTTGGGACTATGGCAAAGTTGAGTGCAGCAGCGCAACATATTCCGCGAAATCTTTCGGTATAGAGAAATGGTGTTCACGGAGAGATTTCGAGAGATTCGAATAGGATTGAGGGCCCAGTGGAGTGGCAAATCCCGCTCGACATCCTGCAAATGCGGCATCCTTCGATGAGTTCTCGTTGCGGACTGAGGACGAAATTAATAACGTACTCAGGTAGCCCAAGCAGCTGCATTCTTTTCCCGCCAAGAAAGTCGAGGGATAAGTAATGTCAGCGTGAATGGGACAGGGTGCGTTGTCTGCTCTGGTTACCTACGATTTGCTTCACAAAAGAAAATCCACCTATGGAAATGATCACTGAGCAAAAATATATGACTATTCGCAAGGCAAAATAAGGAGTCTCTTTAAATTATCAATTCTATGAGTAATACTAAGCATCTTAAGTAATGATAAGTAAGCATTAATAGAACCACATTGTGTATTGTGTTTGTAACATTATTATATACTTATAAACTATAAATAAATGTTGACTTAGACATCAATCAAATAAAACAATTTGCGCTGATAACTATTAATAAAGATTAAAGATTATTTGAACCCAACAATCGAAGAGTAAGAAAAAAAAATGATGTTTAAGAGAAATTTGATTCTTAAGTACCTATGTAATAACGATCCAAGATGTGCCTTGCCCTCTTGCATCCCATTAATAGTAAATATACATATATGCTTTAATGGAAAATATGATTCTTGAAGAGAGGTTCCTTTTTACATAATGGTTTTGTAATTAATAATTATAAGAAAAGCATAAATTATATGTTTTTCTTACATTTATTAATCACAAAAGCAATTATTTGAAAATTCCATTTTTATTATAAAATCTTTAAGTAATTAAAACCCCCTCTTGAATAAATTCTGGGCAGGTCACTGAAAATGTTGTCGATGCAGTGCATCTGGCTGGGTCAGCCTCTCTAAATATTTGTTTGCAATATAGATTAATCTGTCTAAAGACCTACTTTACACATTATGATTTGTTAGAGATTAGGTATGATGTCAAATTAGTTGTATATATTACACTTTTTCATAAAAAATCAGCCAAAATCTTAAATAAGAAATTCGAATGTGCCTTAACCTATATTGCTTTTATGATGGTACTTTATTTGTATAATAAATTTTAAATTATCTACGCATTGTTTTTGTTGTGTACTGATACGGCTAAAATGATTGTCAAATAGGTCATTTAAAATTGATAAGAAAATGCAAATAAATAATTTCGAATAAATTTATTAAAAAAACGCATTGCATTTAAATAGGCAGTTCTTTATTATTGTACATTTAAGATCTCTCGGGTATTTTGGAATTAATAGCAGCACCTGAGTTTTTAAAAGTTTCACTATAGACACTATAGACTTATAATTTATACACTTTGAGGTCAGACTGTCTGGGTCTCCACGCAAAGGGCATCCACCAGCTGAGTGATCCTTTGGGCCCGCGTTAGTTTCCAGGACACGCAGGACAGAGCGGTTATGAAGAAGCCAATTGCTGGGAAAGGAACATCCTTAGCCTGAATAAAAACAACTTAAATCACTTTAACTCACCCATTAGCAATATGGCCTCGGAGGTCTCATCCTGCCAGGCTTTCGAGACGACACAGAGCAGAATAAACCCGCTGAGAAGACAGAAGGATCCGACCACGACGGCTAGGGTTATGAGTATGATGACAGGGTCGTTCAGAGGTCCGTAATCGAAGAGTGTGCGGCAGAGGGACGGCTTTCGGGGCAGGGAAGTACCGCTGTTGGAAAATGACTAACTCAGTTGGATTTCTTTGGCCATCGGGCACTACGAACCAGGCTTGTGAGTAGGTGGGAAGAATGGGAACAGCTCTGCACTCCATCGCGCTTCTCAAGACACTAAAGTTGGAGCTCCAGACTTCCGATTTTGGGTGGCTGTCGGGCCCTACTTCTCCACATTCTAAATTTAGCCCCTAGACGGCTGACGATCGCAGACGCGTGTCTTGGATCGGAAAAAGGGAGCCATGCCTATTTATAGCCGGCTAGGAAATGGTTCGATCTAGCGGAACTAGCAGATGCACTCTAGCCACAATGCATCTATTTTCGTCTTCAGTTTTGTCTTCCGTTCAATGGAGCGCAGGGTTCAATGCTCCGCGTTTTGAGCTCGAGGAATCGAAGTGCCTGGGAAGTCGTGTAATGCAATAAATCAACTTCATTACTGGCGTCGCAAAAGTCGGGGGCGAACAAGTGCGAATCATTAACTCGATGTCTCGAAGTTCACGTTTCGCATGTGCCAAGGTAGCGTTGACAACCGACACGCACAGTTTTCCCCGCATTTCCTTCGCATTTTCCCCATCTCCGGCGTAGTTATAGAAATATACTTGGCTGCTGCATTCAAGCGTGCTGTAAATTATGCAAAATAACGACGTCAAAGTTTCAATATAATGAAGCCAACAGGGTGGGCGTTGGAGCCCGCAGGATGGGGATTAATATAGTCTGAAATTTCATCCCTAATGCCTGTGTGCTATTAAGCCAAATGGAAAACACAAAGTTAGACCTACAAAATATAATTTACCGAAATATTTATGGAGAATAATAAAGTCTCCATGCTTTACATGTATTTTTAAAGTTAAGGGTACAATTTAAATGTAAGCAGAATGAATCCTTTTTTTTGCCAAGAATCTTTTAATTTCATTGATATTAAATTTGAAAACTTTAAATTTAGCAGTATTGTGTTTTTGTGATCATTTCTTCAGTAATTGCTTTAAATGTTTACTTGAGTTATAGGTATAAAGGAAGTTTTCCTAACTCGAGGAAATCCACCTTTCTAAGATTTTTCTTGTCTTGAAATTGGTATGAGGCTTATGTGACCTCCCGTTATCGCTGGACCGACACTCAATCACTGCCCTCAAACCCTTGAAGACATAAAAATCAAATCGAAGCCGTCGCCATAAACAATTATGAACTTTGTTGCACATTGTTGCCCACACATGGCCACACGGATCCTGCTCCTTGTCGTCGCCTTGGTTACATTGTAAAACGTTTTATTGTCGCCGCCAGCTGGCGACGATTTGTTGGCAGCAGCGTACCGCCATCAAGCAACCACCCGCCCACCACCCACTGAAGTCACCAAACCCGTCCACCACCCACTGAAGCCACCTAACCCGCCAGAGGTGACAATTTGTCCTTTTAATGTACTTTTTTTACAGTCTCAGCGGAAAAGTGTGACAAGCATTTTCTGCTGAAAACATTATAATAGCTCTACAAATATACATTTTCTAAGTTATCTTGGTATTTATAAATTTAATGTCATTGAAAATAAAATGGATATAATTTGAATAAAATCATTTCTAATTATTACTATTATTCACAAATATATTTAATATATATATATATAATATTCAAGGTAGACTAGAAAAAAGTCTAATTAATTAAAAAACCAAATATTATATTTATGAAACTCTCAATTTTCATTAATTTATTTCTCATGAAATATACAAACATTTAGAGGTGAGAAAGATAAATCTTAATATTTTAAAAGAAACAAAATGGTCAAACTAAATCTTTCATGAAAAAGTTTCCATTTTTATTTTTCAAGTACTTAATAACAATGATTGCTCATCACTAGGGACCGGCGAATACACCCTGAAAGTGCGATCCCAAGGTGCGAGCCGGCGGCACGACGACAACTGTTATGCTTATCGGATGCTTTCTGAATAAGAATAAGAATCCGGATGCGGACGGGGATGTGGATGTGGATGTGGATGCGAGTGCGGATTCCAGGAGCTGCGGCAAATTGCTGCTGATTGTCAGGTTCAGGCGTCGTTGCGTAAATAACTGAAAGCGGACCGAGGTGCCAACTGCCTTTGAGCCGGGCCCAAAAGTTTGGCCAGGACATTAGACGGGGATGGCCAAACTTCGGACCGATTAACTTGGAAGTCGTGGGGTGGGGAGTTGAGAGTTGGGGGGTGGGAGGTGGTAGGTGGAAATCTTATCGCCGCACAAGAGCCCGTTCCGTTTTAGTGCCGCAATCAGCGCTGTTCACTTGCAATGGCCGTGGCAGGACAAATATTTTACTTTTACTCTTTTTTGCCCATCTCCGCTGCTGACTTTAGCATTCCGCCCACTCGCCCAAAGTTTAGCTCTCTAATGCGCTGCGAAAGTGTGCCAAAGACGCTGACAGAGAAATCAAACACAAGGATATATATATGGCCAAGCAGCGGCGAAGGACCGACAGAAGGTCCGCGGAAAGGATGCACAAAGTTAAAATTAAATTAGCGTTTTTTCCAGCTCCGCAGGGTATCGCAAGGCTATGAGAGGTCTGGTCATTCTGGGCCACAGAATCGAGTCCAAGGCCACTCGATTCCCCGGGGAGTGCAGGGTATCTGCAGGTCGAATCCGCACCTTTCCGGTTAACAAGGTATTCGCATCCTGGTAGCGCTGTCTGTCACTGGCTGCTACTTAGCCAAATTAAAATTGCAGAGCACTTTTTAGTACGCTGCCTGAGGTCATAGCTACTTGAACCGGAAGTTGATTGGAAATTTTTTTAGACTTCTAAAAACACCCCTGCTTTTAAGATCATTTTTCTAAAAAGAAAAATATATTAATGCCTTACCTCTGCTTTTACGATCATTTAAAGAAATGTAATTTGTTAAGGCAAAATACTTTTGTAATTTCATATTTATAAGCTGTATTTTTCTTTATTTTAAGCATCAGTTCAAGTTGCAAATCAACCTGCTGGGGTAAAGTTTTAACCATAACTGGTTCATGGATAGATTATGAAGTAAAAATATATTTTTAGATATTATTTTATAAATTTAGTTTGAGACATTTCTCAGAGCATTGCACTTGCGACTAGCAAAAGCCACCATTTCGTTTCCGTTTCGTTTTTAGTGTCCTTTTAGCGTTTCGCATTTATGCTTGTTTAAGCAAACGCCGTGTTATCGTCCGGATCCGGATGCGGATCCTGATTCGTGTCCGTGTCCGAGTCCAGTCGAAAGGATAATGCGCGTAATTGTTGTCCGTGCCCGGCAGTTGGCGCTGAAGGAGCGCTCTATTTGCATGGAACGCATTAAAAGTCGCTGGCTCGGCGCCGTGGCAATTCAATTTAAGCGAGTGGCATAAGCACAATCTGGCAAACTAGGGATTATCGCTAATGCAGCACCTATCCCCGGGTCTGGTATAAGTATAGTGCATATATGCTTTTGCAATGACTCCATCGGCTGTCAATTGCTCAATTGTTCGGCCAGCTCATGGGACTTTCTCTCTCGACGGAACACTCTCGACACACATCCGCATATCGATGTCCGCACATCCGCATCTGTCAGTAGTGGAAGGCAAACAGGAACTTCGAGTGCAGTCAGTTCGGGTCGAGTGCCCATTAACCAGGACCGATGGGTTGGCATATGGTCATGGTTGTTTGTAGTGCCTAGGGCAGTTATATATATAAGCCCATATTACTGGCATCACCTGGCCACAGTGGGAAATAAAATGATACCATCTCAATTATGACAATTTTTATTCCTTTATTCCATCAAGCTATTAATATTTTCAAAATATTTAACTTGGCTATCAACCAATAACAGATTTCTTAAATGATATAATTTATTTAAGGACAGATTTAAATAAAAGTCATGTGTTGAACTAAAGAAGAAGTTATTTTAATTTCCTTTTTAATTTGAAGATTATTTTCATTGTGATCTCATTTAACTCTCTTAAGTAACAGGCGAGGTATATTTATTTCAGAATCCAAATATCTATTTTCTTATTATTTTTAAACCCATGAATTTCTGCGATCTTAAAGTGCTTAAGAATATATATATTTCTTCATCATTTTTCTGAGTGCTGACTAGCTCTGACTACAGCTTAAATTTCCATTAAGAACTGTCCTTTGTTTGCTAAATTTTAAAGCCCAGACCGAAGCTGAGTTGGCATCGCTTCACTTCACTTCACCCGAGTTTGGCTGCGAAATTGGCATATAAGTGGCTGAGCGACTAACAGGGAATATCAAAAATATTGCCATAAAATATGTCAAGACAAGCACCGCAGTCTCAGCCCCATCCGCATCCGCATCCACATCCTCACCCGCTTCCACATCCACATCCTCATCCGCATCCAGAACCACAAGCAGTGCAGATACGAGTTCCAGCGCCTTGACAGCCAGCGATTGACATGAAAAGGGGGGAAAACTGGGGTCGAGATGGAGACAAGGTAATGAAAAATATTTCCATATTGCAAATAAAGTCAGCTTGCCAACGTGGCAACCCTAAAACCTATTTCTTAACCCTTGTCGACAAGCCGAAGGACGATGGGCGAAGGACGAAGGACGAGGGCTGCCTTTACCTGCTGCCGTTCGCTGGCTTTTGTTTTGGCAGCCTGGCATATTTCAATTTGGGACGACTCGGGGCCAGGCCCGAAGTTTATGCAAATTCATTTCAAGTTTCCTGACGCAACAGCATTATCAAGCGCAGGACTTGCGACCTCCGACCTCCGACCTGCAACCTCCGGCCATCACGATGATGCTGATGATGGAGATGTTGCACTTTGTGTATGTTGCACATATATACACATACTTGTTGTTGACCTGCCGCCTGGCTCCTTGCCAGGACTCAGTTCGGTTGTTGTCCGCAAGTGTCGGCATTTGGACCATTACAATTATTACGTTGATGTGCACGGCTTCACTTTGTGGCGCTTGTTTGCCTGTTTGCGGTGGGCAGTCAGCAGTCCGCAGTAGGCAGTCGACAGTCGAGCACTTCGTGGCGTATACACAATTAGCCATATTGGTCAATATTATGCCAAGTTACGCGCAATTTCGCGGTCGTGGCTTTCATTAGCTTTGTGCAATGGCAGTAGTAGGCTCCAAATATGTGCACATCCGAGGGATATGGGTACATATTGGCCCAGGGGGTATGATCCAAGGGCTGTGCCGGT